CCCTGGCCGGACTCCGGCCGGGCCCGGGTCGCCGCGCCCCCTCCCCCATCGCACCCTGGCCCCCGGAGACCCCGCTCCGCCTGCACTTTCCCGCGCCCCTCCCGCCGCCCGGCGGCAGCTTCCCGGTCTCGTCGCCCTCCCGCGGGCGCGGTCCTCTCTCCTCGCGTCTCCATCCGCCGCTGCGCGGCTCTTATCCCCATCCACCCATCGCGCCTCCACCTCCAGGCCCTTCGGGCCCCGGGTTTCTGGAGCCTCCCTCGCTCCGGCTCGGCCCCCTCGCGCCCTCCGTCCTCATGGGGTGCTTGGCCCTACCCCATCCCCTCCCGGTTGCCTTTTTCCGTCGATCCTGCCTCCCCCGCTCGCTTTGTTCACGTGCGCGTCCCTCGGGGCGGGGGCGGGATGCGCGCGGTGCCTCGGCCCGCAGGGAGCGGGGGCGCGGGCGGAGAAGGCCGGGCTCGGCCCGCCCGGAGGGGTCGCAGCGGCTCTCCGCAGGGTGGGGTCTCCAGCGAGGAGCCCCGGGACGCCTGCACCTGTCCGCCGGGACGGCGGGGCGGGGCCGCGCTTTATTTACCTTGGGCTTGGGGGAGGGAAGAGAGGCGCCTGGGGATCCGTCCTCTCCGGCCTCTGCGTTCCTGCTGCCCCCTATCCCCCACCGTGTGCGCCCGTTGCACTTTACGTTTTAACCTATTAATTCCGCCCTCCGCTCAGACCCCCAGTTCTCCCTTCCCAACTCCCAATTTCTCCCGCCTACACGCCCTAGTGACCTCAGGCTGGGAGAATAATTCTTGTTATTATTATTATAAACAAACTCGTTCTCTGGAAGCCTGATTTCTGTGAGACCTGAGTTATTTCCATGGAGACCCCCTCCACCTCGTCTCTTTCCCTCCCCCTCCCTGCCCCCCTAGCCTCTGACTCAGCTCTGCCTCTTCCTCAAAGGCCACCTCCCCTCCCTCCCCTCTGTCCCCCTCTGCCCTCCCCATCTGCTTCCCAGAGTCTGTTCCGGGCTTGTCCCTTTCCCACTGACTGCGTCCACACGTCCATCTCTCCTCCGAGCCCCAGCACCAGCGCCTGAGCTCGGCTATCTCGTCCTGCCCCTAGACCCCAACTTTGCGGGGGGGGGGCACACCTCTCAGTCCTGGGAGCTAGTCCCCACCTTGCACCAGCTGTGTGGTTGTGCCTAGAATGCCATCCCTTACCCAAGGCCGGGGTACATGCACACCTTCCCAAGAAGGGACCTGTACCCTCAGCTTGGTCAGAAAATTTCATGTGCATGCAGGACCCATGTGGGCAGGTGGTGCCGGCAGCCATCTGGTGCTGGAATCTCGCTCCCATCACCTGAGCAGGCCTTTCCCCACATTTCACCAGGTACCACCCTGTGCTCAGCCAGAGGTGCCCTCCGTGGCTCCTGGCTTTCCCAGTTGGCCCTCAAGCCCTGTCCACCTCCCTTGTCTTCCGATGCCTTTCATTCCTATGTTACAGACCTGTCTTATCTCCTTCCTCCTCAGTCCCCACATCTTCTTCCCCTCAGACCCATTCATTGGTTCTTAAGGAGGCTTCTACTTCAGGGGAAGATTCAGAGACACCCCCCTCCCCCCAGGAAAGATCTGCCCCTGTTGGTAGCACTCATTGGTTCTACAAAGGCCAGATCCCACACAGAAATAGTCAAAGATCTCTCTGGACAGAATGGAGAATTGTTTTCCTCAGAAAACCCAACCTCTGATCCCCGTCATGCTTCATGTCAACAACAGCAACAACAACAACAACAACAACAACAACAACAAATAAGGCCACGAGTGTGCTATTTTTGGTTGAGCTAAAAGTGAACATTTTGGCTCAGCGTTAGTATTTGTCTCACCAAAAATTTGAGGACAGTAGAGAGGTGACAGAGAACGGGCACACAGAAGAAGGCATGACCTCTGGGCCCAGTGGGTGGCTTGCGGATGGGTAGGTCCCAGGATACAGGCTCAGCATTCTACGGGCAAAGACCTAAGTGGGGGGGGAGGTCCAGGCGAAGGGAGGTAAGCAGCAAACCGTCTGGCCCCTTCAGGGAACGAGGTGATTGCAGTGGACTGGAAGGGCCTCAAGGATGTGGATCAGATCAACATGGACAGCACCAGCTCACTGCACGGGAGCAGCCTCCACAGGCCCTCTACAGAGGTGAGTGCCCTGAGCTCCCTGCTCCAGAGGGTCCCCCCCCAAGCATCAAGCACAAAGCCCCTTAGATGCCAGAGTGAGATCTCTAAATTCCTTTCCTAAATCTCATGGCAACACCCCAAGCCCTCCTTCAGACTGACACTTTTACAGAACATTCCACCCTGCTTTCCTGCAAAGCATGGGGCACATTCCCCCATGACATGTTGCTTCCGTGAGGTGGCCTCAGGAAAGCCTGCCTTGCTTTGCACCCTTCTGGAGGTCCCTCCGAGGTCAGTGAGGCTACCATTTCCTCTCCTGTTTCCTACAGCAAACACGAACTGATTTCTCCTGGGATGGCATCAATGTGAGTGTGCTGCCCTGGCCCTCTGGGTCCACCCTGACTGCTCTTCCCCGAGTCTCCTAAGCCCTCTCTGGAACAGTGCTGCCCAGCTCCAGCAGCTCTGTAGACCCTCACATTTTCCTGCTACTCCCCAGTTTTCAAAGGTGGTTGGGACTTCTTAGGGTCCATGGTTTTCCGTCTCACCTGTCCCAGTGTTTATTCCCCTCCTAGCAGCCACGGGCTCTTCTCCCTATCTAAGGCACCCTTTCCCTTCTTGCCCCTCTGATCCTCCTCTTGCATTCCCTATCCCAGCTCTCCATGGAAGACACCACTTCCATCCTTCCAAAACTCAAGAGAAACTCTAACGCCTACGGCATTGGGGCCCTGGCCAAGTCATCCTTCTCAGGTGAGACTCCCAGCCTGGGAGTGCATTAGGATGGTGGCATACTTACGGGCCCCTGGGCTCAGTCTCATTGCTCCTCAGGCTTGTCAAGGACCTTCGTCCCCACACCCCCCGACTTGTCTGCCCTTCCTCTAAAGCCTCTTCTACCCTCAAGGCCACCCCACATATATGGCTTGTGGGGGATACTTGCCCCAGTGCAATGGGATCCTGTGGCACTCGGATGGGGAAAGGGGGTTGATGTGGATATTGCATGATCGTCAGGAGGGATGTGGGGAATGTTTGGCCCCTTAGGGATCTCAAGAAGCATGAAGGACCATGTGACAAAGCCGACAGCCATGGGGCAAGGACGAGTGGCCCACATGATTGAGTGGCAGGGCTGGGGGAAGACTCCAACCATTCAGCCACAACACAGCCACGAGGCAGTGCGCAGGGACACAGATGCTTACTCTGACCTCAGCGACGGCGAGAAGGAGGCGCGTTTCCTAGCAGGTACTCCTACCTGGAACCCTCAGGAGACACACGGTTGGGGTGGCCAAAGACTGATGCTCCGTCCTGTGCACCCCTCTGATAGGACTGTCTCCATGAAGACACTGAGCATATGTTGCAATTCTGTAAGGGTTCTCACATACTTTTTTTTTTCTTATAAACTCAGAAAATGAGGGGCTTTGGGATCTGTCAGTCCATGTGAAAGCACTTTCTCTTCTGAACTGCAGGATTGTCCCATCCCTATTGTCCTTTAGTAGAGAAGATGAATGCTGGGCCCTTCTGCTTTGTGACAGAGGCTCTGGGGAATCTCTTCCAGCCTTTGCCCATCAACATTTGATGTCACTGATTCACGTACTGAACTTAGTACGTGTAAGAGCCACTAGATGATGAAGCCACTGTGGAGGTGAGGGTATACAGAAATGGGAAGTGGTATAGGTCCAGTGGCCGGCATATCAGGGACCCACAAGAGTGGCAGGGCCTTAGTGGCAGGAGCCAGTGAGGTGCCTAGGGAAAGGGGCCAATCTGGGAGAGAGGGAGGAAACTGTGCGGGTGGTTGGGTGGTGGAGGAGATGACAGCGAGGAGGGAAGATAGACGTGGGGGTAGGGCGGCAGCTCTGTGTAGTAGCAGCGTGGCTGCAGCTTACTCATGGCGTTGACTAGAATAGGATGGCCTTCTTTTTCCTCCCTGTCTCTTGGATCTTCAGCTTTTTAGCACTGTGGACCCACATTCCTGTGATGCTTCCTCTGGCATTCACTGTTGTCTTGAAAGCCCCCTCTGTCCCCAGCTCCTCTGCTTCTAACCACCTTAAGGCTAGGTTCAGTGCCTAGAAACCACCAACAGCAGTCCTTAAGTTTAACCCCTTAGGATATGCAGCAGAAAATTCCCCAACCCTTTCCCCCAGGAGCTCCAAATCTGACCTGCTGGAAAGTCCTCCATGATTGGTTCCTTGGCTTGGGGCACATACAAAGACTACACTGTTCAGCGTGGTAGCCACTGGCTACATGTGGCCATGGAGAATGTGAAATTTGGCCAGGCCAAGTAGAGATGTGCTGTAGCTATAAAATCTGTAAAATCCACAGACTGGATAAGGACAGCAATGCACAACTGTTGTAAATTAATAATTTTATATCTTTAATACTCTGAAACGATCATCTTTTGATGTGTATTGAGATAAGTTAATAAATGTGGCTACTAAAAATTTTAGTTTCTACGGGCCAGCACTGCACTGGGTCTCCCCATGCCTGCTTGAATCCCTGCAGAATCTCATGGTGACTTTATTTCTTCGTGCAGGTGTCATGGAACAGTTTGCTATTTCTGAGGCCACTCTTATGGCCTGGTCTTCCATGGATGGTGAGGACATGAGTGTCAACTCCGCCCAGGAGCCGCTGGGCTGCAACTACAGTGACAACTACCAGGAGCTGATGGAGAGCCAGGGTGAGTGACAGCATGTCTGTTTTTCTGAGGCTTTTCTGGTGTCTCACCCTCTGCGCTCTGTGCTCTCGTGCTGCATGTGATGTTCCTACGAGTCACTCTCAGGCTTCCCCGTTCTCTCCACAGATGCCCTAGCCCAAGCCCCCATGGATGGCTGGCCCCACTCCTACGTGTCCCAGGGCATGTACTGTCTGGGGTCTTCTGATGCTTGGGAAGCAAGTGACCAGTCCCTCATTGCCTCTCCGGCCACAGGATCCTATCTGGGCCCTGCATTTGACGACTCCCAGCCCAGCCTGCATGACATAGGGCCTTCCCAGCCTGCTTCAGGGTACTCTGCTCAGGAGCCCCCAGCTTTGCTGGGAGGGGACAGTGACTGGGCACCAGGGGGCAGTGGGGTGGACCTGGCCAGAGGCCCTGCTGAGGACGAGAAGAGGCCGCTAGCCCCTGAGGAAGAGGAGGATGCTGGATGCCGGGACCTGGAGTCGCTTTCCCCACGAGAAGATCCTGAGGCATCCACCGCACTCAGCCGGAAGGTGTCTGATGTCACATCTTCAGGTGTGCAGTCCTTTGATGAGGAGGAGGGCGAGGCCAACAACTAGCTTTTCTCTCCCCACTACTGCAAGGGCATGGCTGCAGCCCATACCCTCCCTTGCCCCACAGCACAGCTGAGCTGGGCAGAAGACTGGGGGGAACCTGGGCACTTCCAGGCCTGGCCCGCCAAGTGGAGGACCAGCAAGGGGTTTCATCTCTGCATACACTGGAAACCACAGGTCCAGAACTGAGACCCAGGCCGGTGGATGGCTGTGGACCTGGCGTGGCTGTGGGAGGAGAGCTGCCGATGTGGGCTTTTGGGTCTGTCCCCGTGTGCGCTGTGGGGACAGCGGTGCAGAGCGGTTGACCATGCTGGAGACTGGATCTCAGTTCTTCACTCCCTGACTTCATCTTCCAGGAGCCCTGGCTGTGCTGTTTGAATGCCTCCTTTTCCCATTTCATTCTTGCTTTTCCTGACTCTGTTTTCTCTGGCTGTTCAGAGCAGACCTCAGGGGCTGTTGGATGTGGCTCGAGGCATGCGGGGATGCGGCCTGAAGAGCCAGGCTATGTCCAGGTGGATGGCCATTCTGCCCTCTGTGGGGAAGTTGGCTCCTGATCCCAGGAGGTGGACCTGGCAGCTGGGGGCACAAGCAGAATGCTATGCCAAGGTCTGCCCAGATACAAGAAGGTCACTGATGGGACCGAGAGCAAACAAGGCCACTCATTCTGGGCTCTTGAGGCATCCGGAAGGTGTCTTGTGGCTACAAGGAGGATCCTAAGGATCAGAGAAGAGACTCGCCGGGGGCTGGCTGCTGCAGCTCTGCCTCCCCTTCCTGCCTTCGTCTGTCCCTGCTCCTGGAGCCCAGCCCTGAGGAGCGCGAGGGAACACCAGCCTCAGAGGCGCTGACTGACGCAGGAGGCAGTTTCCATGCCGGGGAGGGGGGAGCATGAGGGCTGGGTCTCCCCCTGACCACCCCTAATTCTCTGGAGCTGTTTACACTTTTCTCTTTGCCTTTTCTACATTTTTATAACTTCTTGGGGACTCAGGGTTGAGCGGGATGGAGGGAGGATTCCGGTGCTGTCACTGCCCCGGCCGGGTTGGGCTGGTGGCTGCAAGCCAGGGTGGGCCTTGGCTCCTGCCCCTTCATCAGCTCTTCTCAGGACTCCCAAGATGGGCTCCCAGGGGCCCTGCGTCTGTCCCCATGACACATGCTGGAGAAAGAGGAGAACTAGCCCATTGCTGTTTCCTGGACAAGTGTCCTAGGAGGCGCTAGCTCGCCCACTTGTGCCATTTCCACTTGGGTTTGAAGTGGATGCTGGAGTCATGCACGGTGTAGCAAGCGAGTCCGCAGAGCTGTGGGAGTGTGGGAGCAGGCCTGGAGCAGAGCTGAGGAGGGTCTCACCACAGCCATCGCAGAGGTTGCCCACTCCAGCCCCTGGCACGGGTGGAGTTGGAGTTAGATGCTCCTTGTCCAGTTTCTGCTTTCCTTGAGCTCCTGCCCCAAGGACCGAGTCCTGCTCCACTCTGTTGGGGGCCCTACTCCTTCATCCTCTGCCACCACTGGAGCTCTGTCTTATCCTCTCCTAAACCCTAGGTGCAAGCTGCCCACCCCCACTCCCACATACACCGGCTTTGGAATGAGGGAGTTGAGAGTTAGGGTGCTTCTGTTCACCTGTGACCGTGGCCCCCATCCAGTTTGCATCTGCCTATGCTCATGAGGTGCCCCAGGGCAGCACCTGGGTTCAGAGGAAGGGGAGGTTAGCTCTTGTAGGAAACAGGAAAAGGTATGGCGCCCCAAGTAGGTGAGCAGTGTCTGGCTTCATCTACACTGCCTGAGTGGGAGAAGATACCTCTGAGGGGCGTTCCCGTGTCAGTATACCAGGACCTTACTTCCTGGAGGTTTGGGGAGGCCGGTGTACCCACCTGGCAGCTGTCCCTGGCCCAAGACCCCTGCCCCGGTTCTCGCGGCACTGCATGCTTCTTCTATCTTCCTGCCGCTGGCTCCCTTTCCTCGCCTTGCCCCCCACTGTCAACGCGGCACCTTGTCCTTTTCATCCTTTCTATCTGCTCACGCTCCAGTGCTCCCAGATCTCCCCCCAGATCCCAGTGGACTGCATCTGGGGAGCAGGTTCATTCAGTACAGTTCCGTTGTGCTCAGGGCCCCAGGGAACTGGGGAAGGTAGGCTACAGAGGCTTGCTTCCTTTTCTCTCTTTCCCAAGGAAGCCAAATGGTCCCTGATGAGAGACGGCTAAGGCTCAGAAGGCACTCACACAGGAGCAGGGACTTAGCGACTGCAAGCCGCTGGCAGGTGTCTGCAGGCAGGGTGTGGGGGTCTGCCTTTGGCCAGGAGCCCTGCCCCCTTCTGGGCAGCTTGGGCACTGGTGGAAGGACTGCCTCCAGCTCTGGGGCAGGATGCATGGGGACTGCTTTTAGCCTGTTTGGGGGTGGGGGGTGGGGCATGTGCAGGAAGAAGCTACTGGGTGGTGGGGAAGGGTTGCTTTTCCTTTGGGGCTCAAGGCTGTGCAGCACGTTTTGCAGCAGCTCTGGAGCAGGGCTGCTTTATATTCTTGTGAATGAAACTGCTCTTGCTCAATGATTTTTTAGGGGGGGGGTGCACTTTCATTTTCAATCGACTTTATTAAATGAAAATCCAAACCTTCCATTCCTCCCCTTCCATTGACCTTCTGCCACCCCCACCTTCCTTATCCTTGTCTCGAGGAGGGGATCTTTGTGAATTTGTTACTGTCTTCGCCCCCAACTATATACCCCACATTCCATCTTCCAGGTCTGAGAAATGCCCATTTGTATGGCCAGTCTTAGCATGTTTTCTTCATGTGATATTCCCACCCGAGGCCCAAGAGAGATTCTATGACATATATTACAGAGAGAATTGCATATAAATATATATAAATACTATAGATTATATACACATGGGCACGGGCTTGATGCCCACTGCCAACCCCCTACCCAGGCCTGGGCATCTCTCTTGGCCTGGGCAGGTGGAAAGGACGGGATGCTGGGGGGCACCAGAGGCTGTGTTCAGTGACACTAAACAGAACGTGGTGGCACCCTCTGACTGTGAGTGTCTTATTTGGGGGACAGAGGAGCTGGGCATGGGAGGGGCAGGAGAATGCTGGAGAGGGCAGGAAGGAAATAAGGCATGCAGGGAGGGCAGGGGAAAATGGCTATGGAGCCAGGGCTCCTGGATGCTTAGAAGCATTGGTGTCCCTTAGGGGGAGGAGGGCTACTTCCAGGCACTACAGTAAAAATGCCTGTGATCTTGAAAGTGTCCCCCAGAGTCTCGACCCTGGAAGAACCAGAGGATCTTATTGAAGAGGGCTTGGGACTGGAGGGGCTGCAGGGCCCAGTGGGCCTTGGTAGAACAGATCAATCACAGCATCAGGAAAGGGAAGACGCCTTTCTAGGGAGTAACCTGGGATCTCAGTGACAGGGAAGAGGAGGCCTTTGTGCCGGGGGGGGGGGGGGTTAGAGGACACCATGGGACTGATTGATCATTTGGCAACGAGACACATGCCTCTTCCACATGGAGGCTTTGGCAGCCTTTTCTTGGCCAGACAGCTGCCCTTGGAAGTCTTTGTATCCGCAGCTCATGGCTTGCAACACAGAGGAAGGGAATGCAGCTGGTGTTAAATGACCCTGGCCTGAAGATGGGTAGTAGCAGCCAGGATAGGACCTGGGGGCAGACTATGGGCCTGTGGGAGGTTGGGGGCTCCCAGAGAAGCAGGTTGGATGGACTGGAGGCCTCTCCATGGGTGACCAGTCCACAAGACCTGGAGGTGGTCCCATTTCCTCCTCCACCATTTTTTGGAGTCACGATCCTTCTGGGCCTCTCCCACTTGCCCCCCTTTAGGAACAGAAGGACAGGCAAGGACAGAAAATACTGGCACAAGAGCACTGGGCAATTGTGGGGCACAAGGGTGGTGAGCCCTCCCACTCACAGCAAGAAAAACCCATACGTGCCAGGGGCTCTCCAGGCCCCTTTGGAGATTAGAACCACCTGGCTGCCTGGGAATTGAGAAGCTGTGTACAGAACGGAAGCTCCTCCCTAGGTTCTGGCTCTTCCTCTAAGATTGTTCTTGTCACACTGAAAAACTCCTGAGAGGTGCAGCCACCCCGACTCCAGGACCCCAGTCCCACACAATTCCATCCTCTCTTGTGGGCCTCTGGACAGCATTCTTTATGAGCAGGGTCCCAAGTTGGTCAAAGGATCAGTTCATCCTCATCCTCTTCTTCGTCAGTGGATCGCAGGCTGGGGCCCCGAAGGATGTCAGCAAGCTCCTCTTCCGGCCCCGGGCTCTCCACTAACTCCAGGTCTTCCAGCTCAACCCCTGCCTTGGAGGGGGCCAGGGGCTGAGGGGGACCTGGGGATGGGGGTGGCACCGGTGTCTCTGGGGAAGCAGGGGTCAAGTCTCCTGCTCCAGGGGGGCCCACAGCATCCTCTGGCAGGCTCCAGCCCTCTGCAGGAGGAGGTGGGCCCCCTGGGCTCTTCCGAGAGGTAGTTGTGTTCCTGAAGCTGGCAAGGGGAGGGCGGAGCTGCACACCTGATTTGGTGTGACCCTCGATGGCTTTCTGTAGCTGAGGAGGGGTGGGAAGAGGAGAGAGGTACAAAATGAGAAAGAGCAAAAATGGGGTAGTGGGAGGAAAAACGAGAGATAAATGAAAAGAACAGGAAAGAGATGGGCAAGAAAGGGAGAATCTGAGAGATGACAGAATGGAGAAGAGACATGGGCAATGTAGAAATGTCCACCTGCACAGCAGTGACTCAGGCACCTGGTGGACCCCTTCCCTCCTAATGACCTCCTCTGCCCCGCCAGGCCCCCAACAGCACAGTCCTGTGACTTGCCCTGAAGCCCACATGAACCCTGTGCCACGTGGGGTGGACAACTGGTCTCTTTAGAGGCTGTGGCCATAGCGGGCACTGCAGTTTCCACCTTCCACTGTCTGGTCACCAGTAAGGATCATGAAGGGGAACCCGCCCCTTCCCATGCCCCCCTCTTGGCCCGTGTCCAGCCCTCCTCCCTCTCCAGCGGGCCCCATCCTTGTTACCTCCTCCAATGCCAGGACACCCCGGAGTTTCCCCATGCTGGTCACATAAGCAAGATGGAGGCCGAGGAGCGAGAAGAGAGTGTGTGTCTGGTGGGGAGAGCGCAGGTGAGCACATGCCCCGTGCCTCCCACCCGCCCTCCCTGCAGCCCTCAGCAGCCAGCCCGGCTCGCCTTGTGCAGGGTGGTCTGCTCCACCAGCTGGAAGGGGGATGGGTCGATGCAGCAGCAATCGAAGCACACAGGCTGGCTCAGCTGCTCCTGCTCCCAGGCCTCGATCTATGGGGTGGGTGGGGCAGTCAGGCCCACATTGGCCCTCTAACCACAGATGCCTGGCTTCAACCAAAAGCGCCCTCAAAGTCTCCACACTCCACCACAGATCCTCCTCCCCAGAGTGCTCCCGTCCTTCCCAGAGGATGAAAGCTCTCCTGTCCTTCCTCATCAGACCCCAATGTCTCCCCAGGTCTTCTACCCTTGGGCTCCCAAACATTTACCCTTCAGCCTGTGCACCCACTTCCCCAGTTAAACTAGATGGCTTTCTGCTCTCGCCCTTTGTGTTCGTTATTCTTCCTACTTGGACTTCCTACAGCCCATTCGTTCCCTACCGTATGACTCTCCTGATGCCCCCAGTGATCTCCTCAGTGCTGTGCATTGCATGGTAACTAGCATGGCCACCTCTGAGGAAGCAGATCTCGGAGAACAGTTGCAGATTGGAGCAGACTTACTGGAGCACACCGGCTTAGCTGACTTCAGCAAAGCCATTTGGGGTTTGTTTCTGTCTCTCTGTCTATGAAGGAAGCATTAAGGCATGTAGGCCAGCTGTTCCCTCAACTTTAGATATGCAAATGGAAATCCCCAAGAGTCCAAAGAAGCCCTTATGCCTCTGGCTTTCATTACTGAACCTAAGACTTTCTAAAATTCTTCTTTGGTTAGCACCTTCGGAGTGATGTAGGACTTTGAGCACTTACTTTTATTGCTTATCTGGCTCTACACCTTTAAGACCCAGGCAATATGAATAAAGATTCAGGCAATATGAATAAAGTCTGTCCCTTCATTCTAGGGGCCAGTGTGTTGGCCAAAGCAGGCTCCCTCCCCCCGTCTTTTCCTGGTATTTCTGGACCCCATCACAGCTCCTCTAAACTCATCCTGCTGACTAAAGGTTCGCAGGGGGATTTGCCAAGGCTTGGCCCAGGACAGATGATCCCGTGGAGGTGCATTTCAGAGAGACTTGTGTGCGTGGTTGATCCATCCGACACCCGTTGCTGACCTCTTGGCTTCCGTTTCTGCTTAGGAGCAGCAGCAACAGCAGCAGCAGCATTTTCCAAGCACGTCCTCTGCGCAGTGGTACTCTAACTGCTCTATGTCTTAGTCACTGGACCCTTCCCAACAACTCTATCTTCACCTTCATTTCAGATCAGGAAGCATAGGCACCCCGGTGTTACAGAGTCTGCTTAGGACTCTGCTGACCATGACCAGTGGAACTGGGCATCTGGCCTTGTGTGAATATTCTGAACAGAATATACAGAATTAAGCAAATCCTAGCTAGGACTTTGGGAAAATTCTTTCGATATTGACTTCTTTCCATGCTACTGCCCATACCGGTTCTGGCAGTACCAATGTCTTGGTTGACATCACGTTGTCATCTGATATGATCCAAAGACTGTGTTCAAAATATCCTGAATTCTGACTCCCATTAGATCTTAACCCTTCAAAATAGCTCCCTGGGTCACACGGGAGTTGGTAGTGCCTTCACATTTCCCTTACATAATGTATCTTCTTTTTATGCCTGGCTGCACTTTGGGTCGTGATTGAAATGCTCCATCAATGGCCAAGGAACTAAGGCACATGCACAGAAGAGCGCCACACTGATAAACTTCACTCCTTCTGGCACATGTTAAATAAAATAGATGTTGGGTCTTGGGAGATAGCTCAGTGGTAGAAGTGCCTGCCTGGCAAGGGCAAGGTCCTGAGTTTGATTCCTGATACAAAAAAAAAAAAAAAAAAGTGACCAACTAAACAAAGTACTCCTTTATTGTAGTTTGGGTCATCTGATTCCTGCTGTGGCAGAAAAGAAAGCTCCCCCCCTTTTTTTTTTCCTCATGGTACCATCCATCCAGAATATGTCATTTCTTCCCGTCTTTCCACTCTAAGCTCCTCCTCTGAGCTTGTAGCTTTTCAAATCTTCAACACATACTTATTCTGGATGTCCAATAAGATACTTATTTTAAAATAGTACCTACCATGGCTTTTTGTCAGCTATATACTTTAAAAGCTCTGTCTTTGCAGCCAACTTGCATGCCCTTTAATATGTGCAATAGTTGCTAATGGGTTTTCTCTGCTCCTCCAAGACCCCTGGGGCCTGTTCGGGGATTGGGCTCCCAATTGCTGCTCCATATTCTGTCCATTCTTCACAATCAAGCACATCTGGTATTTGATTTTTCTCTCGTGGCCTTGATAATGGCTTCTATTAAGAAAGAGGCATCTGTCTCCATAAGACAACACTGTCATTATTGGAATCCCATTTATAGTTCTTCAAAGTCTTAGGACCCACATTTTCCAGGAGTCCACTGTCCCAGGGCCTGATGGATCCAGTATGGTGACCTCCACCGGGGCAGGTTCCCCGTTAAGTTTTGATGAGATTCTTCCCATTGTCATATTTTAGTGTTGGCCCCTGCTGCTTCTTGAATAGCCTCTCTGTGGTCTGGATCTCCCATTTGCAGGACTAGGGCACACTGGTCCCATGTACACATGCACCAGCCCCTTCTGGAAAGACTCTGTCCTTTTCGCAACACAGCACATCTCTTCACAAGCCTGTCACTTTCTCCATAACCATTTCTTATTCCAGCCCTACAGAATACCTCCCCATCTACATATAAGTCTTATAATAACACAGTAGAGAAAGTAGGGGGAAAAAAGCAATACTTTCATGGGACACAACAATCCATCTCAGGTAGTGTTTTTCTTACCTCTTCGGGAGACATGTTATCCACTAAATCCACCGGGTCCTAGAAAAGAAAGACACAGGAGCAAGTTTCTTCTCTGTTCTTTGTGGAAGCTACAGCCTCCTCTCTCTGTGGCCAGTACCACGGGCCTTCTTCCCAAGCCATCATCCTTGGTAGGATCTCTGCTGTCCGGATTAAAGGCCACAATTTCTCACTCGTCAAAGGTGAGCCCCCTCTTTGAAGACAACACCTCTCACCTGGGTCATTTTCTTCTTTGGGGGGCGAGCTCGGCCTAGCAAGCAGCGCAGCAGGCACTGGAAGATGGAGGATCTTCGACCTGAAAGGAGTGGAGAAAGTGGCCAGGAGCTCCCTGTGTCCCCAGAACTCTGCCCTCAAGTAAGTGCACTTTCCCGGTGCCCCAGACTGGAGGATACATCTCTGCTCCATCTCCGTTCCCTGGGACAGTGCTATGGAGAACCCACCAGCGAAGGGCCCTCCCCACCACACCCTAGCCTCACACGTGGGTGCAGAAGATGCATAGCTCACCCCTAAGGCATGGTAAGGGGGTGCACAGGGAGTCTTCACCTTCAGGTTCCGGAGCTTCAGGTGACTGTTTGTGGCCAGGGAGGGGCCCATTGGGCTCTTCAAGGGTCGATGTAACACTAGGAAAGGGTGGTGGTGGAAGAGGAGAAGGAGGAGGTAGCTGAAAGAAACAGCAGAAATTCTTAGTGTCAGGAAGGCAGGTGTTTGAAGCTTCACTCCCTTATCATTTGGCGTCCTGTCCGACTGGATTCATTCCTGGCTCAGCACCCCTAGATTCGGCTGAATTTTCAGACACCTATCTTGACATTATCTCCTTCAGTGGCTGGCTGCACTCAGAGGCACGGGTCTGGATGGCAATTCTGCATCAGAATTGCGACGTTTCCATTTAACACCACTCTCCGTCCCTCTGCCCGCTCACCTTGAACCCCTGGCCTCCCCGCTACTCAGCTGTGATCAAACACTGCGGAGGTCGCTGGCGCCCCCTGCCGACGCCTTGCCTTCCTTTCCCCCTCGCTCCGGCTCCCTAGTCCTTCCAGGCTGTCACCTCGTTCTTCCCGGAAAGGTCCTCATCTTCATCCTCGTCCACAAAGGCGAAGGACTCGGGCCGGCCCCTCGGCGCTCCACCCGGGATGCCGTCCCCCGCCAGCCGCGCCTTGCCGTCGTAGGGCAGCTCCGATAGCTTCCGCGCCAGGTCCTGGGCTGCCCGCAACCTCCGCTCGGGACACAGGTGGCGCTGCAGGAGGGACTGCAGCTCTGAACGCTCCACCGAGCCCAGCAGGATCATAGAATCTGCGGGAAATCCACCACACTCAGCCCAAGTCCTGCCTGCACCCTGCCACGCCCCACACCACCTGGAGCCGGCAGCAGACACCTAGCGCGCCTCTCTTCTCCAGCGCTTGCCCTCTTCTTCTCAAAAAAGCATTTCAAAAACTCCCCAGGGTTAACCTCGCCGGCTCTCTTTTATTCAGCCATTTAGCACTTACTACCCAACGGGCAGCAGCACGCTGACTGATGCGAAAGTGCACTTATTTGGACCTTGTGCAGGCAGGCATTTGATGGCCTGGTGTTAAAACAGGCTGATCTACGCTGCCCAAATAGAATGAAACAAGAAACGCCTTTCGCACAGGCTGAAGCACGGACGCACTCCGCAAGAAGTCAACCAGCAAGGCAAGCTTCCCCTCTGCCCCTGGAGGAGGGGAGAAGGGTCCACCTTTCACGTCTGCTGTTGCACCGAGTCAACAACCCGAGTCCTTCTAGGATATAAATAGCGCACCTGCTTTTCCCCAAGACCATCTTGTGTATGTCTACAGAAATCCTGCTACAGTGATAAACGTGTTCATTAAGTTTCATCTTGGAATTGCCGCAGTGTTACTGCGATCGATTTTGCTAAGTCTCGGCCATTATTATGAAAGCCATGTTCCTCATCAACAGTACGTTGCTCCAGCAGTTAGCCACTGTAGAAGGCATTTAGAAAGGGTCTGTCTGAGCTTAGAGGAAATATCTGAGTTAATATAATTTAAAAATTTTGGGTGCTCTGATTACCTGACATCAGAACTTGCAATCTTAATGCCTTCAAGTAACATGCCGTGCTTTTCCTCTACTGCACTAATTCGAACACTAGAGAAGTATTTATTGACTATCCAGTAAATACTTAGAGCAAAACACTCTGGAAATATATTTATTTATGTGTGTGTGTGTGTGTGTGTGTGTGTGTGTGTGTGGCCAGCTCAGCCCACCAGGGGGCAGGGGATTGAATCGTGGTCCCTGTGCTTTGCTAAGCTTGTTCTAAGTAGGTGCTTTAGACCACTGAGCCATCTCTCCAGCCCCAATTCTGGAAATATAGACATAAGATTATCTCAACCTTCAAGGACCGCCAGTCTTGGAAGAAAACAAGACATACATGTACAAAGAGCAGGAGGAAATAATAAAAAGCAGGCTGAAGTCCTGGGGGGAGGCAGGAAGGATAGAGAGAGAAATGCGAGAGATCACTCACGCCTTCCTACAGAGCAGTTTCCGGTCTTAAGTTGGGCACTGAGAACAAGTGTGACTCAGTTAAGTTACAAAGAGCCATGAGACTCACAGCCCAACCTTATAACTCATGCATTCCCTGTTGGTGAGTTCTTCTACTCACTGAAACAGACATTCACGACTCAAAATCAATACCCCAGGTGCTTGTGGTGCAATTCACAGGCATGTGCAAAGTCACTGAAAAATGGCATTGCCCAACATTTGTATTCCCAGCTGGAAGGGAACATAAGAGTGCCCAGCCCTCTCCTTTCAGCATGAGTACTGTAAAAGACGGCTCCTTTTGCAGCCTATTTAATGTTAGGCTCTTCACATCTCTGTGCTTTGTGTTGGTGCTTTTACTGTTTAAAACAGCCCCAAACATAACGCTGAAGTGCTGCCCAGTGTTCCTAAGCATAAAGAGGCTGCGGTGCACCTTACTGAGAAAATATGTGTGTTAGGTGAGCTGTATTCAACTATGATTACAGTGCTGTTGGCTGTAAGTTCCGTGATAGTACATCAGCAACTCCTGTGGCATAAGGCCTGTTCAGCAGAAACACGTAAATGGGGTCATGTACTGATCAGAGGACGAAAAGGGTGTGACCAGAAGCTCAAGCCCTGTACTTTGCCTGGAAGTAATTGGTCAGCACTGTCCGGTAAACTCCACATTCATGGTTTCTTTATGGCACAGAGCTGCCTTGAATACTGACAATCAATTGTGTTTCTCTGGAGGATTTTTAGCTGTTGTCTTGTGTATATACGTGAGATAGCTGCATTTTTCCATCTGTGAGCAAGCTCATATCCCTGAAGAGTGCAGGATGGACCTCCCGGCTTGCTGGCACGAGTCCACACCTGCATCCTCTACCCTATGGGACTCTCGTTGAAGTCAGCAGCTCAGGAATCTAGTTCCTTCCATCCTACTGACCTTTGGAATCAACCAGGGGTAAAGTCTTGACTGTGGTGGCCTGGAGCAGGTTTCGCAGTTCCCCGTATGTGCAGGAAGCTGACACAAACTTCACGTCACGTACCATGATGTCCTCAACAAAGATGGTAAATTTGCTGTGGAAGGGAGAAAGCACAGTGAGTTAACCCCACCATATGCCAGGCCTTTGCTGTCCCCTGCATTCCATCCATGGCCTTATACCTGCACTGGGTCATCACAGTATTTCCTACGTCCATGGAAACAAGAAACTGGTGCAAAACAGTGCTTCCTAACACCGACTCTGACCTCAGTCTCAGCCACAGGCCCTCCCATCACCCAGGACATCTTAGCTAATTCCTGCTAATGCCCCTGACCTGAGCTGGTTCCAACCAAGGTCGGGCAAGTAGGGTAGCTTCTTGACCTGGATGATGCTGTCATAGAGGGAAGGCTGCAGGCTCTGGGCCACCATGTTGGCCAAGATAACAGCCACCATCATGGGCAGGATGTGAGCAATCTGACCCGTTAATTCGAAGCAAATCACGGCAGTAGAGACTGTGTGGGACACGGCACCCGTCAGGGCTGCTGCTCCTGGAATGACACAGGAATATGTCAAGAGGTCAGCACTACATTCTAGGCATGAAGGGCATGTGTGAAAGTGGTGGAGATGACCCAGGATAGGACACAGGACCTTGGTCCAGGCCAGCACTTCTGTCAAGACCAGGGACTAGCATGCTGCCCTGCTAGACAATTACACTTTTATTTCATTCTACAATGTCGAGTAAATCACAAAATCCTTGCATATGCTAATATGTTGTTTTATAAAATGAAGATAATGATGTCTTATCCATTCTTTGCTTTTGAAAGTTTGTATCATTCTTGACTGAGTGTTTTAAACTCCACTATGGCATATTACCTTGGGCCTAAGTGTTGATGCCGATTAATGAATGAATAAAAAGACAACCCAAGAACTGTGCCATGGAAGGAAAAATGAGACAGCATCAGGTCTGGAGTTTGTATTTCAGCAACATAAAGAGAGTTTAGTTGCTTTAGAATCCTTGCTCTCATCTGTGGAGCAAAGAGGTCATTGAATGAGTTCCAAAGCCCTTGCAGCTCTGTGTATGATTCTATAAGCTCACTGAAGAGAAAATCTATCTTGTTTATTTTTCAGTTATTCTTTCATTGACCCAAACAAGAGGTAGATGTCCTGTGGGAAAAACAGCATAGCAGGCATATGGGAAATGTAACAAGTTACAAAAAGAAAATATTCAGAGGAATGATGTTACTGAATGGCATGTGCAAAATACCTCAGAACAGGCAGGGTGGTAGGGTGTGTATACGGGGGCATGGAGACCAGGAAAGATGGGGATGGACATCTGAGAGGAATAAAGCGGCTTAAGAAGATGCTAGCTGCTCACAGCAGGTTGTGTAAAGGAGCCGTGATGGGGGGCAGGCACTCTCTGAGCTATGCAGCTGATTTGCTGGTTCCTATCCAGGGAAGACTGACCTTAGATGCTTTATGGCTTGTGTTTAATTATCCCCTCACAGCCTCATGCAGTCACTGGAGTGGCTTCTAGAGTTTGTGACCAAATTCATGATCCGATGTGGGGATTATGAGTGTGAGTGCTACACCCACCCTGGGGTGGGTAATCTGCATACAATATAAGGAGGGGAGAGAGGCTTGCTAGCTGCCACAGCTGCTGCTCCTGCCTTTGCTCCTTGCTGTCTTCCTCAGCCATGAGCAGCTGCCCTCTGCCATGTGTCACTCTGCCTTGGAGCCAGCCAAGTATGGACTGAAACCTCCACAAACCATGAGCTAAATAAACCTTTCCTTCCTTCATTTTGGGTGTTGGGCATTTGTCTCAGCAACAAGAGTAACTAAGACAGAAGCTATGGGATTTTGGCACAGTTGGCAAATAGGAAGGGGGCATAGTAATCCAGGGGACTATCATAGTCATGTTTCCAAAAATGCTATCTGAGGAGTGATGTTAGAATCAAGAAACTAAGGCTCAGAAAGGCAGCTGATGTGCTCTGTGGTCAGCCAGGCAACAAATGACAGAGAAGGCCCACAACTCATGTTTCTCCCATCAGTATCACCACATCTAAGGTTGGGGGCACCTGAGCAATTACTGCCTGATGGTCCAAGATTCTTAGGAAGGAGAGGAAAATCCTTACCAGACATTGAGACACATCTAAGGTGTTTCTTCCCTTGCCTCCCTATGTAGTCATATTCCTTTTACCTCTTTTCATACGAGGAAACCAAAGTTGAATAAGTTCAGTAAGAGATCATGAGAGTCAGAGCAATGGGTTGAGTACATAATTAAAGGTGAATTAAACAGCACTAAATTAAAACCCTATGGTGGGGGCAGCCAGACAGCTCAGTGGACTAAAATGCCTTCTTACCCAGACGCAGGGACCAGGGTTCCATCCCCAGTGTGCCGTGTCGGCCCTGCCCCAAGGGCACACTGAGACTTTGATTAACACTGGGCATGGTGGTACATAACTGTAATCCCAACACTTGGGAAGGAGAATCAGGAGAAACAGGAGAATCACTATGAGTCTGATCTACACAGTGAGACCCTGTAGACCCTGTACTAAATACATTTAAAAAAAATTGTATACTCTGGATTGAAGTATACAAAAAATTGTATACTCTGTACTGGGAGACTTTGATGGTGGGGATCTGGGATTCTCCATATTTGGTTCCTACAGGGTGGGATATGTCTCACCAATTACTGCATAGCCCCCAGGGAGAATTTTGTAGATGATGTCATCAAATAAGATACCATCTGGGAACAGCATGGCCATGATTTCTCCCACCAGCCTTCCAAATGCAGCTCCTAGAGGGAAAATGAAAGAAAGAAAAGTCCAGTGAGATCCAAGTTCCTTATTCTTCATGTTTTCAAGAAAATCTCTCTTGAGGGTGAAGACCAAATGCAAATTCCCAGCATCTCAGGCATCTCCTTATTCCCCCAGGACCCTAGATTGCCACCTAGACACCATCAGAACTCACCTAACACAAACACAGGCATGAAACCTCCACAGGGTATGGGCATAGTGGTGGCCACAATGGACATCCAAAACTAGGGTAGAAAAGAAGCGTTAGGACACCCTCCCTCCTCTGCCCAGCATGCACCAGTGCATTCCCTTCCTTCTGTTGTCCTTCTTCTCACTTCAGGAGTCATCACAGAAATCTGGGATAGTTAACCCTTCAACAAATCATTGTGTCTGTCTCCCTTTCTTAAGAACCAAAAACACCGACACTCTCAGACTCAGACATCAAAGACATCAGGACAAGAGAATCTAACACCAAATCCTTGTATGTTGAGTGACTGTGTTTTCCTTTGGCATAATTTAGAAAAAGAAATGACAGCCCCCCCAGGATCCCTTTTTCACTGCCTCCTGAGGACTCTAACCTACTGTCTTTAGCCCAGACAGTTTCCTCTGGAAGAGCAGCCTGAAACTCTTGAAGCCAGAGGAGTCCTTTCTTTGGTCAGGTAATGATTTGAAAAGCAGCCACAGCTCTCAGTGGCAGACTCTAAAGTCCGAGTGACTTACAATGTAACTAAGTTAGCCTTATAAAGCCACCCATGTGGTAAACCTCGCAGAGGAAGCTAGAAGGAAGAGTGTTCTGCCTGTGTCATTTGCTATCATATCAAATCACCTTAACTAAAGATCAAAACTTAGATCTGGGATGAGAAATGTAACTCGATGGTATAGCACCCGCCTGGCATGCGCTGGCCCTCACTTTCATTCCCAGCAGCCACCTCACACTCAAGTCTGTTCTTGCTGTACTGAAGGGACCAAGCAAGAGCCTGGTTAGTCAGCTAATACAAGAAAAATATCTCCAAGGCCAATTTCATCAGACAGTATCTTAATAGAAATGGAGTGGTAGCAAGTACAGGATGCACATTCTCTGGCAAAAAAAAAAAAAATGCAAAAGAATTAAGAACTAATTAGGTACAAGATGGTCATAGATGTTCAAACGAACAGAAAAGATTAAGATTTTTACAGTGTTCATACTCTTAAGTGAAATAAATCAGACACACATGTGCCAACATCATATTGTCTCCTTAGTGTGAGAACCTGAAAGGGAAAGATGGAATCTGAAGGGTATAATAGATACTGATAAAAGGGAATGAACTCATTCAAAATGAAAGAGTTACTGAGTTGAGAAGGACAGGAGAGGGAGTAGGGGGAGAGGTTTATCTATGTTTGTAGGCAGGATGGTTTGGACAACTGTACTGTGCATTTCTGCTGGTCTATGAAAAGAAGCAGTTAATGCTTTAACTTGTTTCATCTCCTTTTTTTCCCATTGTACTTTTTCTTTTCTTAATTCCTCATACATTTCTTTTTTATTTCCTCTTCCAATTTTCCATGCGTATATCTGGTAATATGAATAACTGGTTGGAAGACAATACTATGTATTACAACAAATACTGTGAAATTCATATTACTTTGTTAAGTGAAATTCTGTATCACTTGTAATTTTTTTCTGTTTTAATTCCAAATTTGTACTCTCTTTAAATATTTATTTATTTTTATTTATTACATTTATTTATTGTGTGTGTGTGTGTGGCCAGCTCAGCCCACCAGAGGGCGGGGCTGGCTGGCATGTGGTGCTGGAGGATTGAACCGTGGTCCTTGTGCTTTGCCAAGCTTGTTTCAAGTAGGTGCTTTAGACCACTGAGCCATCTCTCCAGCCCCCCAAATTTGTACTCTCTTTAAAAAATAAAATAAAAAGATTTTTACAAGGTTTAAATTGTTCCAGTCACACTGTAAACCAGTGGGAAATAAATTCCTTCATTCTCTAGTTCCCCTCAGCCAAAGCTGAGCTCATGAGGTAGCAATGACCATTTTCAGAAAGCTTCATTGCAAAAGTACTCACATGAGGCAAACCGCAATTCTTCATGCCAGAATATAACTATCTGAAGGAAATAAGGGTGCAATATTAAATGTCCACGATGAGCACATAGGCTGAAATTTCAAGGGAAAGAATGTACTGCCATAATGCTCAGTAAATAAATGTAGCTATGATATCAAAAGCGGGAGGGAAACAAGGAAGATGGACCATAGAGTGGTCAAGTAGAATTCACACAGCAGAGACAGCTCCTCAGAGCTAACACTGACTAATCTACCCAACAGGAATGCTCATCCCTTGGAATGCATTTGCAGACAGCCGGACTCCACAGAAGGCCATGGCATCAGACTGGAGACGTAATTTGAGGCTCTTGGACGTAAGCTTCTTAAGTGATTGTGACACTTAACAGCTTGAGACCCCTTGAACTCTCATGTGCCGCCGTCTCTTTGTGGTAAGTACATCAAAACCACAGCTGCAGATAGCCTGAAACTCCAGCAGTATACAGATTATAGGGGACCAATGGTGTGATTTCAGAGAAGGAGCTAGATTATCCCCCAAGATACGTATGCAAACAGAGTGAACATCAGAGGGCACTGAAGTCACCCACTCCTACCGCACAAAGAATGACACACGGGGTGAGTGAACTCTTGTGGCTATTGGCACCTGAAAGAATGGACCCAATGTGATGTGGAAAAGAACGGCTAAACACCCAATTCTAGAGACCTGAGAAAACAGAGATTAATCATCACGGACTCTAAATATTGACTTAGGTCCCTTGCAGGAGGAATGATGGGAAGAACAGCAAAAAGAATTCTACGGAACATTAGGCTGAGGACGGATGATAATCGATTGAACACTAGACTTATTAAAAGGGAGATGGAGAGGTCAGAAAGACAAACAGCTTAACTCGTTACACAGTGCTACTTGCCCCAACTTGAGATAAAGGCAGGCAGGCGTTCTTTTCACCAATACCACGAAAGAGCTGAATTGAGGGCATCACCAACCAGCCTGCCAGAAAACCTCAGGGACTAATTTTAAGTCTAACTGTGGAAAATAGTTTTAGCCTCTGCTGTGGCTTGGATATGGATTGAACGTCTGTTCCCCCAAAGCTCTGTAGTTTGAAATGTCACCCCCATCAGGAGGTAGGAGAAGGGTGAAGCCTTAGTCTGACTGTGAGGATTAGAGATGCAACCTTTAGAAACCAATTAGGCTTAGCTCAGGCTGTCAGGATGGAGCCACCATGACAGATGTTCCTGGTGGCTTTCTAGGGAGAGTGAGAACAGGAAGACAGATGTGGACACACATATGAGCTCCTCGTCTCTTGACACAGATGGGATGCGCTGCCTTGCCTTGGGACCCTGCTAGCAAGAATGTCACTGCTGAGTGTGACCCCTCAGCCTAGGATGTATGAGACTATAAACCCAAACTTGCTTCCTGTAAGGGTAGCCTACCTCGGGTACTTCCTTGTTGTGAGGAAAAACAGATCAACATACTCATGCAGGGATCAAACTCGGGACCTTGTGCTTGCCAGGTAGGCACTTATACCACTGAGCTACATCCTCAGCCTCACTTTTACATTTTAATGTGGTTATGTAGCCTATTTCTCACATTTAGGGAAAAACAAGGGCATGATTGTGAGTTCAATGATTAGATAGTGAAAATTTTAGGAAACAGTAGTAAGTAGTAATGTCATGTATTTGTAGCAATAAATGTCTTTATATTTATAAATACTATAGAGTGTTACAGACCTGTTATAAACTGCTAAGCCTGAAATGTAGCCCAGAAAGTATTCTTTTTTCTGGATACACTTAAAATATAAACATTAACAAGGGTATAATTCAGTGAGAAATTAATCATAGCCTTATACAATGGAATCATTCTGCATCACCCAAGTAGGATGAATTTAATCCATAAAGTGGGACGCAGATACATAACTGGAAATCTGGGATGGTAGAAAGAGACAAGGGAAGAAATATATAGTGTTTCGTTTTTACAAAACTTTAGAAAATTTTTACATTTTAGAAGTATGCATGAGGGGCCGGGGAGATGACTCATTAGAATAAGAGCTTGCCTGGGAAGCACAAGGACCTGAGTTCAATCCCTGGTTCCACCAAAAAAAAAAAAAAAAAGAAAGAAAGAAAGAAAGAAAGAAAGAAAGAAAGAAAGAAAGAAAGAAAGAAAGAAAGAAAGAAAGAAAGAAACAAAGAAAGAAAGAAAAAGTATGCATGACTCCAAAGTTAACATTTGGCTCAATCTAGAGAAATATCATAAAAACATAGCCCTCATCACTGGAGAACAACACTATGAATGGGTTTTGTAGAGTCAATGACCAGTATGGGAAACTAAGATGTATAAATTAGAGAAGAGAAACAACTCTACAGTGCAAGTCCAGAAATCAAATCCCTCAATGACACTAAAAATTCTTTATGAAAAAATGTCAATTATTTTGAAAGTAGAAATAACAAATAAATGACTGAAGTGGATGTGCAAGATACGGAAGCCAAAGATTCAAGTAACTCACCTCAAAAGATCCAGGGAAGAACATACACAAATACAGCTTTAAGAAAGCCACACTAGGGTTAGGGAGATAGATCAGTGGTCTAAGCACCTGCCTGGAAAGCGCAAAGACCCGAGGTCGATCCCCAGTACCACATGCCCGTAACTGGGCGTGGTGGCGCACACCTGGCGAGGCTACAACAGGAGGATTGATACAAGTCTTAACTGTGTATCAAGACCCTGCAACAATTAATTAATTAACTAAGTAATTAATTATAAAAAGAAAAAAAGCTGCACTAGACCTGAGCATGTAAGTTGAAACCTCCTGTGAGAAGCACCTGGCATCTCTAATCAATTACATAAACATGAAATGAGTAAAAGAAAGACTTTTCGTGGTGCCGTGGATTGAACTCAGTGCCTTCACACTGAGATAGATTCCTCAACCTTTTTTACAGTAGGGTCTTGTTAAGTTTCTAAGTTGCCCTGGCTGGGCAAACTTGGGATTCTGCTGACTGATCCTTCCAGAGTATTACAGGGATGAGCTATTACGCTTGGTTCTAAATTGTTTTTGTTTTTGTTTTTTTTTTTTGGAGGGGGGCTGTAAATGTGTAAGGTTAACCGAAGATAAATGATCAAGGACTATGCACCTGGCAGGTAAGTGCCTCATAATATATTTTGAATAAATGAACAAATGAGTCCCTTGCATTGTAAGGATAATATAAACTAGACTTAGTGACTCCTGCTGGAGAAACGTAGTTTCCTAAAAGGTATAACAAAGACGTTCGTAGCAAGGTATTCAAAAGAGTGAAAATTCAGGGTGGACAGACATGTCCGAGAATTGTACCACACGTTGGAGTCTTTAGGCAAGCTATATTATTAGGCAAAGGGGAATTATCAAAAAAGTTAAAAAAGAAAGGCAATCAGTGGCTGAGAGGTGGAAATAAAAATGTCTTTGTATACGGCAGTAATTGAGAAGGCTATAAATGTATAATCCTTGATGGACAGGTATGAAAAAGAGCAGATGTAAGACAAAAAACAGGCTCAGCTTTTGTTTCCTAATTGAAATTAGGAAAAAAAAAATAGCCTGAGAATGGCAAAATCCTCACAGCCTCACTACCTAGAGAGTCGTCATGTTTATAAAAATCAGAGTCCCTGATAAAACTGATTTAAATAGTGTCATCTCTTTTGAAATTCCAGAACATTCTATAGAACGGGAGGGGGGATGAGCGTGCCAATCACCCGAAAATGAATAATCAAATACATGGAGAACGAAGCACCTAGTTGCCCAACATGTGGGAGGAGCTTGGCTAATTAATCCGAGGTTATGACACAGTTGTCTGTATTGCTGAACTCTGTCTTGCCCTGCTTGTGTGGCTGTTGTGACGCCTTAATAAGATAACAAGTGGAGCCATCAGAGGGGTGGTGATAATTATGCTAGCATCCCTGAGCTGATGGGGTGGAGCGACTGACCCAGATGCGCTTCATGTCTGGAGATGGGCACCTTATTTGTGCCATGGTTTCCTACGATTCTTTTTAGGTCAGATACCGACCAGGTATACTCTTCTCCTCCCGCCCCATGCAAACCCTGAGTTGCCTGACTGAAAGCTGAGGTTTGGGGGTCCACAGTGGGGATGCAGTACCTTCATGATAAAGAAGAGAAGGATGATGATGACGACGTTGACCCGGGGGTGGATCCACACAGCAGACTGGCCCAGGATTTTGGGGTCACCCTCGTGTTTCACCCACGTGTTATTGTCAAACAGGGTGCTGATGGCTTCACGGGGCATCAGCTGAGGGGGGGAAGCAGAGGGTGCAGGCTCTCTGGGGATCTATCTTATTTCCTGTTTTAGAGAACTCCTTCCCCAACCTCATGAGTCAAGTGTCCCTTTGGCCCTTACTCAGGGATGGAGGTGATCCCGGGCAAAACGGGATACCTGAGCAGCCCCTTCCTTTCTGGCCTAGGTACAGTGTCCTGAACCCCACCCTCAGGTCCCCCTAGAGCTGACCTCTCCAGCCATGAACTGGCCCATTCCAGGTGGGAAGGTGAATGAGGCGATGACAAGGGTCACAATTCCAGGATACAGCAGGCGGCTGCAAAGGAAACAGATCAGCCCTCTCCCCAGCTCAGCCAACCCCGCTTGCTGCCGAACTCTGGCAAGCCGAGGTTTCCTGTAGTCAGCTGCAGGCACAATACTTCCAGCAGAGAGCATTCTCTTTGCCAAAAATTATAACATGTGTAGGGAAACCAAGAACTTTGCCCCCTACCCACAGAGCTTCCTGTTTTAATTCATACCACCAAAGACATTTAATACCTTCCACAAGATTAAAAAGGGAGGAACTCTGGGAGAAACCAGAAAGTAAATAGGTAGGGCAGGGGAAGGGCAGTGACTCACTGCTTCGCAAGAAACTGGCTCAGGGCCTTGTGCTTTCGGACGCCAAGCATGACTTGGCGATGCAGGTACACAAATACAGCTCCCAGGAACCCACAGCAAATCCTGAGGGTGTAAGTTACAGGGTTGGAAATTTACAGACATGAAACACACAGCCCTCAGACCCAGAGACTGCAGGGGAGCACTGGCCAGCACTCTACCTTCCCTTTCTGTGCCACTTTCCTGGTGATTGACACCTTACCTTCGGCCCAGCTTGGGTCCCTGCCAACCCACAGCCTTGCCCACTCCCTGCTCACATACCCGCAGCAGGTGGCCCCACTGACCCAATGACAGCAAAGGCTGGGAGTTCCTGCAGGTCAAAGGGGAAGTCCATTCGGAAATTGGTTCGGAACAGAGCCGTGATGGTAACTACAGGAGGAAAGGACAAGAATGTTGGTGGACGCTCCATAGAAAGCCAGATAGAAAAGAGGTCATTGGGTTCATGCTGTCCTTCTTCCAGTCTTCCATTCTCCTCTGCTCTTTAATTTCTTTTTTTCTGCACACCACCTCAGCATGGTTGTACCTCAGCCCCCAAACCTATATCCTGGTCCTATGACTTGGGCCCTCCTTCCCGAGTGCTGCCATCCAATTCTTTTAGAGGAAGTTCATGTTTCGTTTTTGGTGCCAAGGACCGAACCCAGGGCTTCCAGCTTGCTAGGGAAGCATTCTACCACTGAGCCAAATCCCCAACCCCTATCCAATTCTTTTAGGACACACACCCAGAGCTCCCTCTCTCAGCAGCATCCCAAAGCCACACCTCCTCCCTCGGCCATTCCCGTTACCAGCATCCTTGTTCCACACGGCCAGCACACGGAACACGAAGGCACTGAACGTGGCTGCAAAGAATCCGCGCCAGTAGTTCCGCACAGCAAAGTAGGTAGAGGTGACCTCGATGCTGAAGAGCACTCCTATGGGGCCAGGAAAGCTGGGTCAGCTCCAGTCACTCCCTACCCCCTTGCACAGCCCCGAGGAGCTCTGGCTGCAACTTGAGCCTGGGGGAAGCACTGGGGAAAGTGATCTTGTGGTCACCTGCTCTGTAAGACAGGTGCTACCCTGGCTTTTATGTGGTCGATAAGATACAGAGAAGATGGGAGTTGCATGGGCCTCCAACCCCCCAAACCCAAACCCTAAGGTTCCAGGGTCCATGAGCTCCACATCCCTTAGGATGTGGGGCTGACTGGTGTTCACAACTATCAGGTGTCCATGGAGAATTAAAAGGAAGTTGGAAAATTCTGCAGAAACCTAAGACAGGAAGCTTCCAGGGCAGGTACTCAACAATGTCACCAAGCAGAACTCCGAATGCACTGGCTTGCCTTCAGCCTGGCTACCACCCCTCCCATGCAGTCGACCTCCTTGAGAAATAAGAAAGATGGCACAATGCGCCATATTCTATGAAATGAAAGCAGAGGCGTCCACCAAATTTTAAAAATACTGAAAGCCAGATTTGAAGGACCTAAGGGAAAGGGAGAAACCAAGGCTAGAAGACAAAAGCAATCATGTTTGAGGATGGTGGGCGAGGGGACAGGAAAGCCAGTGAGAAATCCTCGCTAGAGCAGTTTCTGAGAGACTAAGAGGAAGATCTGATGAAAAGAAAGTATGCTGGGAACAGAGACAAGAACACTGTGGTCCCAACAAACATCCTTCAAGAGATTAAAAATTGTAAGAACACAGCCGGGGGTGGTGGCACAGGCGCACCTATAATCCCAGCACTTGGCAGGCTGACGCAGAAGGATCATTTCAAGTCCAAGACCAGCCTGGGCTTCGTAGTGAGTTCAAGGCCAGCCTCAACTCTATAGGGAGACCCTGTCCCAATCCCACCCCAATACGAAGACTGAAGGGACTAGATTTTGATTCAATGCAAAGTAAAACTTGACAACAAAATTACCTACCACCCACCTGTGCTTCAGAAAAAAATAAGTAAGGAGAACCAGGGAAATGCAGCCCCTCCTGAGAAGACTGGAGGTGAGCCTGGCTGCAAAGTAAAACAGAAGCGTTTTACTAGCCTCCTTTGTATCCAGGGTAGGCAGCTGTTAGGGTGCTTGCAACCTGCTGCCTGCCTCCTGTTCAAGGAAGCATCTCGCTGAATGGGAATTTTCTTCACCCTAATTTGCATGTCCAAGTCACATCTCTAAAATCCCTCGAGACCTCTCTGTACCTCCTCTCCTACAGGGGCAGTCCACTGCGGCTGAGTCATGAGCACCCAGTGGACAGTGGCTTCACTGGTCCACCTCATGGAGCCGCAGCTGCACGCTGGCCGAGCATTTCCGGTGGTCAGCCCTGCTGTCACCCTCTTATGGAAGCCATTCCCACTCATCCTCTTCAGGCCAAAACCATCCATCCTTGATCTTATTTTCTCAAGATTTTGTACGATCAGATCATTCACCACTTTCAGATCTAGTCATCCATACATACTTTTGAGCTCCCCCTAAGGCAGTAAATTCCTAGAATCCAACACCCTTCGTGCTGGCCCAGAGGCAGGCACGCCTGTTGTTCAGGGATGAGCAGATGAAGACAGGATACAACTGGAGAAGGAACCGGATAGCAAAAGGAGTGGCGTGGCGAAGGAGGCCAAGCAGGGGAGCCCTGGGGCGGTGGCTTGCTGGCACCCGTCCGGTCCTGCTCTTTGAATCCCACCAAGAACACAGGCGGCCTAGAGCCTACAAGGAAGATTTGCCCCTGTGTGCAGGGTGGGCCTTTCTTCCAGCCTGCCTGTAACAAAAGAAAAGTCAGCTTTGAGCTCCTGGGTAAAACTATCCAACTTATGAATATTTTACAATATATTTTTTTGAAATCCCGGGCTAGGTTTTCTTTCCTACAAAGTGGATCTGGGACACTTTCCCTCGCAGTCTGTCACTGTGTGCTCAGGAATGAAAGCTCATTTTAATATTAGACTCAGCCAGACAGAAAAAGTGCTGCTGAAAGGAAACAAAGCTTTGGAAAACAAACAGCTCCAGGGAACTCTGTCTCTCAGGTCTGGAGCGCTGCTCTTCTCTAGTTCCTGCTTCCTTCTCTGTTTTCTCGCTGTCTCCTGTGTCTCTCTGTCCAACCCAGGTCCCTGACCTCACTCTTCCACCCTGGTTGCTCCCAGGCTTGTGTTCTTTCCCAGCCTCCCCCATGCCCGTGGTGTCAGCACTGCCCACATGCCACTGGTCAGCAAATCTCTCTTCAACCCCATTCCTGGGTTTCAGACTCAGCTACCCCCTTGGTAACCCTTGGCTCCACCATGAAAACTTCAGATTCAAAGTACTGAAGTAAATAAAATGGATCCACTCTCCCCACCCCCCAGCCTGGCTTCTTTCCCCCATTCCCACCCTGATTACCAACACCACCACCCATCCAGTTGCCTTTCCTGGAAGCCTAGGCCTTAGGCTAGATCCATCTTTCTCTTCTCCACGTCCCCCCCCCCCATCTTTGCACAAAAACAACCATCAGGCCACAAGGATTTGAATTTATGCTGTTCAGGTTTGCTGGCCTGTTTGTGGTCTCCTCTGCCTCTGCCCAGCTCAGCCTCCTGTCCTCTAGAATCAAGCCCATGACAATAGTCTTCTTGTTAATCTTAGATTAATCCTGTTAATCTGTAGCCAGTTCTGTCCTGTGCAAATGTGCCAAAGGGCTTGGATGGACAGGCGGAGCTGGCCATGTCACTTCCTTGTTCAAAACCTTTGTGTGGTTTCACTTCAGCCGTAGTAGCATCTCCCAAACTCAGGTCCACGGGATACTATCCGTCCCACGAGACAGTCCCTGAAGAAGGGGTGTTGGGGGAAATGCTGTGTATAGCTGCATTTGAGGTGCTCATTATTATGTCAGTGGATCAGACCTTTTGGTAACATTTGCAGTTTTTAAAAATCTATTTGGCTAACCAAGCATGTATGGTTGGCGCCATTCTTACACATTACACCTGTAGCGGCAGGTGGTACCAAGCGCGCTTGGGCACATCCTGTCCTAGGAGCAAGGCTGGCATTCCCAACTCAGCCCTCCTTACGTCCAGACGCATTTCCCACATCCTTCCTGTTTCCTCCTGTCATACCGACTGTCACGCGGATCCTCCAGATCATTGGGCATCCTTTCTCCTGCTCCAAATGTCCATTCTGCTAACTGGACTCCATATCACACACTACCTCCTCTGTAAAGCCTCCTGGGCTCCTCCTGCGCTTCACCGGGGCTTCCATCGGGCCACACATCTGTGCTGCCCTGACCCGTTTGCCTGTCTCCCCACCTAGCTGTGCCCAACCTGAGATCACAGGTCAAAGCACAGCTCTTCACTCACAATTGCAGCAAACAGACACTCACCATGTCAGCAGAGTGCTGAAAGGTATTTCGTCCATCAATGCAAGGAATTAAGAGTTGCTAACACTGTGAATAAATGATCCTAATGCTAGTTTTTCTTTCACATTACTGGATATTCATTATAACATAAAAGAGGTAATCCTACCTGCAGGCACATTTACCATTTGCTTCTTAATACAGAGGGCCTGAGCAGACGCTGTAACTCCCAAGTGCTGGGCAGACTCCTGCAACTTCCCTCAGAGCTCTACCTTTCCCATGAGGACAAGAACCTTCCTTATGCATCTCAGAAATTCCAATTTTAGGGAAAGAATGCAGATTATTTTCACTTTAAAAGAATCTGGCTGGTACAACACAACTCAATACAAGACAACAACAATGGTCTCCCCATCTAAAAATATTCTTTATCTGCACTAAGAAGGCTAAAGAATAAATAAGCATGAATGTGGGCATTGAGGCAACTGTGAACAGTAACCTACGCAGGAATTCGAACACCCTGCCCTTCCCTGACAGGGACTAAGGAGCTGAATGCGTGCAGCTGGTGTCAGAAGTGCCACGCAGGTGCTGGCAGCTGACGAGCTCTCTGGGATGCCTGGGCACAGTGCTAGTGCAGAGTGGCACAAGGCAGGTTCATTAACTGTGGGCTCTTGCCCCATATGTTATTCTGGAGCCAGGGCATTTTAGCTCCCCGGAAGATACCTCTATAAAAAGATTGATTACACTGTCACTGGCATAACTCTAATAGGTAGTCTTTTTTTTTTTTTTTTTGGCATGAGGAATAGAACTCAGGACCATGTACTTGCCAGGCAGGCACTGTGCCACTGAGCTATATCCTCTGGTCTATAGGTGGTCCTTTAAGAAGCATCTATGATCTTCCTGTGCTTCTGTTCCTTTAATTATCAACTTGGTAATTTCGTTTTATCACCAATGAACCAGTGAATTATCCAGATAATCCTTGTTCTGTTATCCTAACTGCAACTGATTTTGGGCAGTAACTAGAACTGCCTTCTTTGACCAAGTCCCTTTTTACCCATGATAAGAAAAATAATCTGAAAGACACCCACTTGCCTTATGTGGCTAGAGAGAGCTAAATAAGTTGTCAAAGCACTCTCTTCCTTTAAAACTCCCCTTATAAGATTCCTTTTTAGACGCTCACCAGCAATCTAGAGAAGGGCCACTGAAATGCCCACGTGCTATCAGGGATCTTCGAGAGGTCTTTTGCAAAAAAAGAAGGGGACCAGGAGATGGCAAGAGGAGGGAAAATGGGGTGGGAAAGGGAATGGAAACAGAATTAAGAAATGTCGGGCTGGCTAGACAGCTCAGCAGATTAAAGTGCCTGCTTAGGCAGACACAGGGGGTTGGGGTTTGATTCCCCTGGTGTAGCTGTGCTGGCCTTGCCCCCAGGTTGTGCTGAGACAGCGACTGGGACAGGGTGTGGTGGCATGTGCCTGTAATCCCATCGCTTGGGAGGATGAAAACAGGAGAATCACTACGAGTCCAATCTGTGTAGTGAGACCCTGAAAACCCTGCAGACCCTGTGCCAAATACATAAAAAAAGGAAAAAAGCACAACAAAATACTAATATTTTTTCTCAGAGAAAGAAACATATGAAGTTTCCAAATATAAAACATACCACATGGCAGGGCTAGGGATGTAGCTCAGCGACATAATTGCCTGCCTGGCAAGCACAAGGTCCCAAGTTCAATCCCCAGTACCACAAAACAAAAACAAAAAATCCATACCACAGGAAGGCCAAAGGAACCAATAACATGACCAGGTTTAATGTAAATAGGGGAAACTGAAAATTGCCTCCCTGCTCATTCCTGATTCTGTGACAGAATGACCTTGCTCCAGCCACTTGCCCTCGCAGCTGTCTAACTTTCTCCTCCACAACACCTCGTCCACACGGAGCTTTCTCCAGGAATCAATGTCAAGAACTGAGAACATTGCCAGGCATAGAGTAAAGGCTCATGGGAAGTCAGCGGTTCTTGTGGGGACAAGAAAACGGGTAAGTCTAGCACTTGGTGAGGACAGCCAAAGCCATGTGGTGGGCAGAACCAGGCTGGCCCGCCAACGTGGGAGGGGCACTTGCCTCCGAGAGGTGTTCCAAAGCAGCAGCCGACCCCCACTGCGCAGCCCACAGTCAGCATGTCGGTGTAATAGTATGGCTGCTACTAGGGAGAGAGATGGGCAGACAGACGGACAGACAGACGGACAGACAGGAGAAGGGTAGGGGCAGAGAGGAAGAACAAGCAGGGGAAGGGAATAAGGTGAAGTTAGAGGCCTATGTCTCAGGGCCTCACTGCGATGCCATTGTCCCAGTGACTCCCAGGCCCCGAGAAACTCAGGAGTGTAGCAAACAGGAAGTGACCTTCCAGTTCAAGGCCAATAATACAAAGTGAAATAAAAGTTAGGCAAATAGATGCGGGGCAGGTAAGTCAGGCTGGAGATGTGGGTACGCACAGGGAGAACGGCAGGGCCAAAGGGGTGGGTGAGGACTCCCGGCAGAAGAGCGTCAATAAAGGCAGCAGGAAGGAGCAACTGGTCTCACAGGGACACACAGGCCTTTGATGGACAGATACCAGTACAGGGGACCGGGGGCTGTGATCCACGGTCACTTCCTGGGTGCCCACCCAATGGTGAGCACGGCTCCACCCACCCCAAAGCCGTGGCAGCTCCAGCCCCCCTCCAAGTGTGGCTCAGGCAACCCAGGTAGGGAGGAAGTAAAACTTGCCTCCGACAGGGGCCGCAAAGCAGCATCCCACGCCCACTGCGCAGGCCGGCACCAGGAGGTCAAGCTGCCCAGGCAGAGTCTGCAACAGAGAAGCAGCAGGACAGACGAAGGGGCGGACGCCGTGGGGGACAGGAAAAGAACGAGGGCGGCACAGAGGAAGGGGGAGGAACGGACACAAAAGGGTGTGTGGATTCACAGGGGAACACAAAGGTAGGCCTGAGCCAGGCCACCAACGCGGAGGGACACAGATCAGGACTACAACAGGCGCTGGCTGAACACAGGTGGGACGTGGGAGCGCGGGTTAGTGCAGCGCGCCCTCAGCACCATGGCCAGCTGAGCAGGCAGCCCTCCCGGCTTGGCTTGCTGTGCGCACACGGCGGGCGGGCGGCAGCGGCTTCAATCCACCAGCTGGCCCTGCTGCTTTGCTTGGTCTCAACCTTACCTCATAGACCCCGCAAAACATGGCCATGAATTTGCTGAGGATGGCAGCGCAGATGCTGGCGATGTGGACGAAAGGGCCCTGGAAGAGAGGGGGAGACGCAGGGCTCAGGGCGAGACATCTGGAGGGGAGGCTTCGAAGCTTCACTGAACTAACATTTGCAACTCCAGGCCCTGGGCAAGCTGCTGAAATGTCGAAATCGGACAGGCGTTCTCCTCTTCTTCATTGCAGAGGCAGCATGATGTGCGTTATCCTTGCAGATGATGCCAAGGAATGGCTAGGAAGCGAATGAGGGGGAGAGACTAGGGAAAGGATCGATGTGGAAGGACAGGGCGTGTGCGAGCTTAGACCAAGGGGCCTGGGGAGCCCCTGGCTGCTTAGGACCAAGCAGTGCCTGAGAGCAGTGAGACAGTGAGCTGGGAGTGCTGGGGAAAATGCTCCCTACACGCGTCCTGGGGCACAAGTTTGATGTGCCCGATATAAGCGAAGAAAGCCTGGAGGCCCAAACACAGGGAAGGCAGCAGTCCGGGAGGCTGGAGGATGTGACAGGAGAGGTGGCCCTCAGCCCAGGCCATTGTGAGTTCAGATTTTATTTTAAGTGCTATGGGAAACTGTTACAACGTTCTTGGCCAGAGGTCAAATGTGACCCATTCCACTTTTACAGGCGATTTTCTGTCTGCTGTGTGGAGGGTGCACCAGAGGCCAGGGTGCACGTGGAGTGCAACTGAGAGAGCACCAAGTCTGTCGCCTAGAGATGCGCAGCTGTCTCCAGGTCTCTGCTTTTGCAAACAAAAACTAAAGGATTGGGGTGGATTATCACTAAGGCAGTGCTTCAACTGGGGGAGAATTGGGGCCTGTGGGGGATGTGCGGCAATATCTGGAGACCTCTGGTACCCGTGACTGGGAACTGCTCCTAGAGCCCAAGGATGCTGCTACCATCCCACGGTGCACAGGACAGCACCCCACCTGATGTGCGTGCGCGTGTACACATACACACACACACACACACACACACACACACACACTCACACAATGGCAAGCGTCCAGATAGCCTGTTCTGACATGTTGCCATTCAGCGCCAGGACAGACCTTTTCCGCTCTCCATTGCCTTCTAGAACTGGCTTTAGTCCCTTTGTCCTTGGTCCATTTCTGCTCCCAATGCATACCCTCACTTTGACTCTCTGTCTCTTTCTCCTTCTCTCCGTCACTACAGACCCACCTCTTTCCCCACGGGGATGCCGCTGCCCAGCCCCGCGGTTAGGGCCACCACCTTTGCCACAAATGCCTTGAGCGTGAGATACTCTTTCAGGACTACGCCTCGAAGGATTGTCTTCATTTCAGGGATGCCAGAACCTAAGATGGGAAGAAAGGACTGCATGCGGGTTTGAGCTGGGGAGATGAAAAAGGAAATGAAGCTGGGAGGGCCCAAGCGTCTGTGATGGGGAGGGTAGTGATGGGGTCCCCAAAGGGCTGGCCGGGGGGGTGGGAGGCCAAGGACATCAGGGCAGACTGGCCTGCGAGAAGCAGATTGTGAAGAAAGTTCTCACCAACAGCCTGGGGAGAGATGAGGTGGCAGAAGAGGGCACTGAAGAGGATGAGGACTAGCGGGAAGGTGACCCAGACCAGGTACTGCAGAGGAAGGTTGGGCTGCGTCTGGGCGTAGGTCCACTTATAGGCTGCAGGGACACACACACTGGGATCAATCAGAGGATGGAGGAAGGGCAGGCAGTGAGAGCACTGTCCCCACAAATCCTAAGTGCACAGTGTCCCTCAGCAAGCCAGCTGTGTCCCCAGGGCTGGGGGAGCCGGTGTCACTTCACATGCAGGTGTATCCCTTCAAGTTCCCCGTGGTACAGGTCACTGGTGACTCTGTAAGTCATGCTTGAATACAAGGCTTTAGCTCATGATTAGAAGCCTTGGCATGAGCCACCTGGCTTGGCCAGAACTGGAACTTCACTGTTGAAAATGGAGAGACCCCAGGGAAACAGGAACAAATGGGCAACCCTACAAGAGGGGCACCCGCTGTTTAGGTGAGAGCAGACAGAAGAGGCATAATCGATGGGTTTGGGTCTTTCCTGAGGCTGGAGTCACACCTGCCTCTAGTGTCTGTGCAGCTTCCCTTACTCAGACAGATCTGGCCTATTCTAGATGGAAGCCCTAGCAAGTCTCGGTTGTGTCAGGAAAAGCTGAGAGCAGTGTCCAAGGAGAACATACCCTGAAGGGTTTTGGCGCTGACATAGTCCATGCACCAGCTGACCAGAGCCATCAAGAGGCCCAGGAGCACCAGAAAGATCCAGTCTTCCCCTAACTTCCTCCTTATCATGCATTCCAGGCGGTGGATACAACCTAGGACGAGAAGAGGGTAAAAGGAGGACAAGGGAAGCAGCTGGTCAGCCATTATTGCTCTGGGTGCATGGCTGAGGACTGAAAGGGTGGGACAGGGCCCAAGCTGGTTGTCTCTACATGGTCACCAGGTTTGTCATTACCTCTCTGCTAACTGCTGCCCCTGTCTTTTCAAAAGACACCAAACTCCATTTAACAAGAACACATGATGAATTCCCTTCCACAGCTCTTATTTCTTGGGGTGGGGAGGGAACAACAGGAAGCTCATGTTCAGAGACTTTTATGTGTGGGGGTGGGAGGGTGGCTATGGAATGGGGCATCCCAGTTATCCTCCTAGTCCCTGTACCTCCTATTCCAGAGTCATTCCTCAGTCCCCATCACCTTGACATTTAGAATAGTGGTCCTCATCCTTGCTGTCCAAGGTAGAACTGGAGCCCATCTTCTTGGGCATCTGTATGTCCTGCTCCTTGTCCAAAAATCGTTCTTTGTGGTGGCCGTAAATCTGGATGGAAGGAGAATGATCAAGCTGTATCTTGATGAAGAGTCAAACAGAAGCGACAGAGGGCAGCACATAGACTTGAGGGACAAGGGGAAGCAGCTAAGTCAAATCCAGGCACTGAGGGTTGCACACAGAGCTCCGGGAGGTCATCCCTGGCTTCCCCTCTCTGCGCTCCATGCATACATTTCCCACTCATTCCCTGCATCCACCCACCTCCGCCTTGTTCCCATCCTTTCCTCATCCTGTCCTCACCTTGGTCCGTGTGGCTAGCTATCATCAAGGAGACCAGTGTCTACTGTGAAGTAAAGACACAAAACTGGGCAGCTGTGTCAGCTAGACGTTTTGTGTATCTCTACACTGTCTGATGAGTTTCCTAAGAACCACCACCTGCACAGATGGATGCTGCTTTAGATTCCTAATGTAGAGAGTGAGCTTGGAGGACTTCTTTTTTCAAATTGATTCATAAAAAAATGTACATTTCTTTTTAAATTTATGTACTCGATACAAGGTCTCGCTTTGCAGTTCAGACTCTTAGTGATCCTCCTGTTTTCAGCCTCCCCAATGCTGGGATTACAGGCGTGTGCCACCATGCGCAGATTCAGTGGCCCACTCAGCACACCCAGGGGTAGGGCTGGTGCGGCATGTGGTACTGGGGATCAAACCCTGGTCCCTGTGCTTGCCTAAGCAGGCACTTAGTCTCGCTGGCCCCATGTACATCTTTTGAGGAGCAGGTGACTTAGTTGCATTTTGCTGTTGAGTATTTTGCCTCCCTGTAGGAATCAGGTTATCTATCAATCTTGGATAAAGCCTGCCTAACCCATCTTTCAGGGTTTTTCTGCATCAAGTGGAACTGGGCCTGACAAGGCATCAATACATTCTCCCCAAAGCCTTGTAACTGAGTCCCACCAACAGGTGAGGACAAGGAAGGAATAGCACCTGTCGGATCTGGAAACCCCCAGCCCCTCCCCACAGGAGCATGTGTGACAAGGGGCAGCATGTAGGCGAACTCTCCGATGGCTTTCAGCCTGCCCCGCCCCACTACACTAATTCCATCCTGTGGGGCCAGGTCAGGCCAGGCCATGTTGCTGATTCTGAGAGCCTGGGTAGACAAGATCTGATTTCACAATAAGAGGCAGTAGAGTTCTACGCCTCCGTCCCAAATAGGCACTCACTAATTTTCCTGATCATAGTTGTCTCATCCCCTGAGATGAGACGGGTGACAGAGGCAGGCAGTGTTTTCCTCTGAGCCCTAGCTGGGACCCACAGATAGAAAACACCCTGAGTGGAGATCACAGAACCTGCCACTCTTTCCTATGTGACACTTCATGCTCCCTTGGCCATTCTCTTGCTGCCACCAGGAAGTACCCTGAACTGTTGTTTTGTTTTCCTTTGGAATGACCAGCGCTGGGGTAAGAGTGAGTGCAAGGCTGGGGTGGGAGCGCCTTCTCCAACAATACCTAAAGGAGTCAGAGCCTCGGGCGAGCAGAAGCCCTTTTCAAGTTTATAATCTGTGCCCCTCAGGCACCTTCTACACTCCAAGAACCACATCTTGGTCCTAATGGTGTCCTGCATAGTCCCCAAGGCAAACCCAAACTACCCTGCCAGCTCCTCTCTGAGACTCCATCTCTGCGCCTCCCCAAGGTTCTCACACTGAATAGTTTCTTCCCGCCTGGAAATTTGTTTGTTTGGTTTTTTGTTGTGTGTGTGTGTCTCTGGAAGTCAAATGTAAGGCCTCGCCCTTGGGAGGCAGGAAGTGGGTAGGTAGGTAGCATGGTCACTCTGCCGGCTTCCACCCCGGGGGCTCCCTGACTATCCATAAGCCATCTGCTCTTGGTCCCCTCTCTTTGCTTCCACCTTCTGCAGAGGGGCTCCTCTGTGTGTGCGCTCTGCTGGCGGCTGCGCGGCAGAAGCCCTGTGGTGTCCACTCATAGCTGAGGGCGTGGGAGACTCCTGGCACACAGCAGCCAGTGTGGGCCCCCGTGGTTACATAAGCACCGGCTCTTCGCACACATGTGGCTCGGCCAGCCTCCCCAGGATCTGGCTATTCTGTCAGTAAAAGCCCCGCGAAGGTGCCTATACGTCTCTCCACCTGCACACTCAGGCAAGCCATAGGGTTTGCAGTGAGTTTGGATTTTGAGCACATTTTTAAAAGGCTATTAAAAAAATAAACACTGCTCTCTTGTCACCTGGCCCTTCACTGTCATCCACCCCCATCCCAGTGTTCCTGTCCACTGCTCCCTTCCCTTCAGGACTTTACCTGTGTGGGGTAGACATGCCGGGGGGCTGCGTCCTTTCGGGGCCGGTGCTGAAGGCCCCCGTTCTCAGAGGGCAGTCCATAGCTGGTGCAGTGCTCGAAGGGCATGTACTGGTACTGGGGGGCACTTCCCCACCAGTTCTGCTCACCCCCATGCCGCAGGGACTGGGACCGCTCCATGTGCCCTCCCCCCAGCGCGGCTGGGCCCCTGCCGGCCTGCCCTGTCCACCTCACAGTGCAGCTCCTTAGGCCTCCGCACTCGCCTGTCCCCAAGGCGTCTGGGGCAGGATGCCCACCTCCAGCTATTTATAGCCGCCTCTCCATCACATGACCCCCCATGGCCACATCTGATCTGCTGGGGTCGAAGCAGGTGTGAGTGCAGAGTGGGGGTGGGGGTGGGGCTGGGAGGGAACCCGCGGGGCAGCCCATAGGGAACTCCCTCCTGGTGCCAGCAGCATTGTCCCCTCCCTTGTCAGTAGCAGGCGTCCAGCTCCTGGGCACCAGTCCCTCTATAAATATCGCCCAGACCAAGATAGCAAAGTGCTTCGTGTGCAATCCACGCTGAGCGCGTGCACTGCCTAGCGGGGTCTGCACCGGAATCCTTCAAGGCTCCGCCCTTCCTTCCCTCCGTCAGGATGTGCAAGGTGTCGGGTTGGTGCAGATGAGTTCCTCGAAGGTCTGGAGACGCAAGGCAAGTGACTCACCTGGGGGAGCAGACTGTGCCGCTCTGCCATCTGGCCCCGTTGGGCTGACCCCAGCTCCGCATCCGTGCAGCGTTCTCTCCTCATGAGGATGCCGAGCTTGTGTCTGGCAGGCTGTGCCCACCCATCCCGTTACATTCTCTCCTCCAGCTCTCTACCCTTCTGCCTGCCAGAGGCTGTTAATATCCCTTCGGAGCCTTCCCGGGATCCCGCCCTTATCGGCCACTGGGGTGTGGAGCACTGTGGGAAAGTGGGGCTGGGAGCCCTGGGTTTGGGAGCCTTACTTGCTTCCCACACTCGCGTGTGTCAGCTGTGCTCCACCGGCTTCCCTGCGGACTGTGGAGCGACAGATAACCGGGAGAAAGGGAAGTAGGCCTGGGGCACAGGGCTGGCGGGAGTGCTGGGAACGAGGGAGTGTTTCTCAGGGTGAGCCTGAGGAATGACAGATGATGGGGAAGTAATCACTCTGTTCTTCCCTTTCCAGGCCAATAATACTTTCCACTAAGGCCAAACTCCTCCACCTGCCACGGTGTCTTCCAGTTTGCCAGAGAAGCAAAGCCGCAAACAGAGACTGAGTGAAGGTCAGGGTACCCCCGAAGGAGGCTCCTTCCCTGGACAGTCCCCGCTCAGATCTGCAAGGTGGGGACAGGAACATCCGGCTCATGATGTGTTTTTTTTTTTCACTAAGCTAAATGGGAATTACTCAAAGCAAGTGGGAAGATGGATACCATTAAAAGCAGCTTTTTAGGCGCTCAAATCACAGGTCATCAGGGAAATGCAGATCAAAACCACAGTGAGTCACATACTAGGATGGCTAGGAGCAGAAAGACAAGCAGTAAGTGTCCAGGAGGCAGAGGGAGAAAAGCGAACCCCGTGCACTGCGGGAGGGAGGCCAACTGTCACAGTCCTCATGGAGAGAAATATGGAAATTTATCGAACAATTATAAATAGAACGAAAACCCAGCAATACCTCTCTGGGAATATACGCCTGAAGGAAATGAAGTCAGTCTGCCATTGACACCTAGACTACTTTATTTTCCATGGCACCAGCTACACAGCCAAGACATGAAGAGAATTTAAATGACTGTCACCAGTGAATGGGGAAAGAAAATGTGGTGTATATATGCATAGCAGAATATTATTCAGCCACAAAAAAGGAAACCCTGTGCCAGTTGCAACATGTAGGACATATGCTACATAAAATATGCCAGTTCAATCCCAGGTTCTGCCAAAAAAAAAAAAAAAAAAAAAGAGTTGTATGAAAAAGCTGGGGAGACAGCTCAGCAGTCTTAAGGGCCTGCCTGGCAAGTGTAAGGACCCAGCTTCAATCTCTGGTACCACATGTTGTACCACGCATAGTGGTGCATACTTGTGATCCCATCTCTGGAGAGGCTGTTACAGGAGGGTCTGTACCAAAAAAATATATATATATTTTTAAAAGAGTTGTATGGCAATAGCTGGGTGTGGTGGTGCACACCTGTGAGCCCAGCACTCGGGAGGCTGAGGGAGGATGGCTAGAAGTTCAAAGCCAGCTGGGCTACGTAGTGAGTTCAAGACAGCCTGGACTACAAACTACACGGCCAGACCTTGCCAAAACACAAAACAAAATAAAACAAAGTACCCTAGGAGAACTAACTGCATCTGGTAACTTCCTCAGTTTCCTTTGTGAACGGGTTACCTCAGGAGAGCCCGGCTGCAGACAGGTGAAGAATCTTTTATAAAACCTTCCAAGAGTGTCACCTCACGTTGGTACTCTACTGCCTTTTCTTTATTTCACACCAATCCCTTAGACTTTGGCTTAGTTTCTTTTGTTTTGTTTTTGCATTTGGTACAGAGTCTCAATGTGCAATTTGGACTCCTAGCGATCCTCCTGTCTCAGCCACCCCAGGGCTGTGATTACAGGTATGCACCACCATGCCGGGTTTCGGTGGCCAGCTCAGTGGGCAGGTTGGCATGCCGTACCAGGAATCGAACCCAGGTCCTTGTGCTTGCCAGGCAGGCACTTAGACTAACTGAGCTGGGGCTGGGGAGATGGCTCAGTGGAATAGATGCTTCCCTGGCAAGTGCAAGGGTCTGAGATCAATCCCCAGTTCCGCCAAAAAACAAACAAACAAAAAATAGATTAGACTAACTGAACTGTCTTCTCAGCCCAACTTTTGCTTAGTTTCTGTCTGCAGGAAAGACAGGCACTGTGTACAGCAGAACTTTTAGCCCCCCAAACCATCACATACCCATTTTCTTTGTGGCTGGAGTATCAGGGCCTCAGGATTCACAGGACAGGGGTTTCCTTCCAAATTTTTTTGGATATAGAGCTGATAAACAGAAGTTGTACTATTTTTTTTTTTTTTTTTTTTTTTTTTTGGTACCAGGGATGGAACTTGCCAGGCAGGCACTTAAGACTGCTGAGCTATCTCCCCAACCTTTTCACACAACATTTTTTTTTTTTTTTGGAACTGGGCATTGAACTCAGATCCTTGAGCTTGCCAGGGAAGCACTTATTCCACTGAGCCATCTCCCCGGCACCTCCATACAACTCTTAAAAAGGCAGATCCTTAACATGGAGCAGCGTGCACACAGAATCAGGCTGGAATGCAGAGCCCAGGGGAGCAGGGGGAACCATTTCACCTGGCCAAGCCCAGGGGAAGGATGTGGTCAACAAGAGCACCAGCTGCCAATAGAAGAGCCAGACTCCCCACTAGGAGGCTCTCGAGGTAACCTACAGGATCCTACTGCTGGAGAGCATCTCGTTTGAAATCAGGAATAGTTTATCACCTGTGGTCTTGCAGGAGAACTAGAAAACATGTGAACCATGCCCAAAGTGACCCAGGCCCTACCTTATTTGGAGCACCAAGGGTGGGTTTCTAGGAAACCCTGTGACTTTCTAAGCTTGGAAGCACATTTGCAAGAATACATGAATATGGGTTCATCCCTGAGGTTTTAAGAGGAGATTCTCCACAGTCTTGACAGTGAAAGCTTAAAACGTACGTGCTTCGTGGAATTGCTCTTTGAAGGACAGCTGCACCAAGTGGCCAGGCAGGATACAAGCAGAGGGCGACTTTGTGTTAAGTGTATAGGTGCTTGGATATGAGCTGGAAAACCCAATAAATTTAAGTTGGAATTTCTTTTTCTTTTCTTTCTTTTTTTTGCAGTACTGTGGATCGAACTTGGGACCTTGTGCTTGCCAGGCAGGTGCTTATGCTGAACTATATCCCGGGCCTTAAGTTGGACTTTCTAGGCTATACCACTTTCCAACTCCAACACCTTTTAGTCTGGCCTCCTTAATTTATTTGCTTCGTAAAGTCAAAGAGTTTCCCAGCAGCACCGACAACATCCAATTATTTTCTGAAATTCTAACAAAGCCACTAGAGCTTTGTGGCTGAGGACGCCTTGCAGCAGAGCTTACACCACTCCTTCTTGGGCCTTGCTCTACTTTTGAAGAATTTGGGCTCTCCTGTACCCTGCAGGTTAGGCCTTCCCTGCAGCGCTCAACGGATCTTTCCCTTCCAGCTTTTCAAACAGGATACTTTCCATGCATCATCTTTATAAGAATTTTTCATGGTAGAAATAACTTTCATTTTTGGATAAAGGCAACTGAGACTTTATTGTTAACATTGGTAAAGGTCTTCAATATGTTCAGTAACATTCAAAATAAGAGCTTGCACAACTCAAGAGTTGGTATCTTTATGTTTTCCATTTCAAAGCTTCTAAGCCGCATTTTCCTCTAAAAAATATGGGAAAATGATTTCCTTGCAGGGCTGTGGGGAGGGTGGGATGTGGCTGCCATGGGGTACACACTTGGTTAGTGGCCGCTATTATTACAGTCTGTGGGTCTGCCCTGCCTTTGAACACTGCCCTTCCCCTTAACCCCACAGCTTTGCTCTTCCCGTGTTTCTCTTCCCATCTGAGAAAACAGGATGGGGAAAGGCAGCAGGGGGCAGCCCCCAGCTCAGAGGGGGATAATTTTAGAAGAGAATCCCCTGGCAGAGGTAAGTGGGGGCAGGGCAGAGAGCTGTGAAATTCAACCTGACACCCTACTCAAGGGCAGGGAGGGGAGGGGACGGCCTCCAGCTCAGACCAGGCTCCATACTTCCCAGAGACATCACAACTCCGAAAAGCTTTCCTATCCTGAAAATGGGTTCTTACTCCTATGGATTCTGGTCACACCTTAGATTTTTACTGCCCTCTCCACTGCTTGTTTCACTGGCCTCAGTGTTGTTCTGCACCGACTTCCCCTCTACCGGGTCATGTCCAGCTCAACGCCATGTCCTTTGGCTCTTCCTAGCCAGCCACCTGCTCCTTAACACTCCTAAGCAAGTCCCTGGAATCGCAGGTTTCTCACACAAGGCTTCTACAGAACTCCCCCTTCCCCTGGCTCGAACCCCACAGCCTGGTTGAAGATTCCATCGCTTAGTGTGAATTGCTTCGTTCACGCTGCTCTAGAAAACCTTACACTCCACTTGGACCATGTGAGAAATGAGATCCTACTGCTCTACCATGCCAGCCCAGTCTATTGGGCCAGCTGGTAAGCCAGAACCAGCACTGCCTGCTAATGACTTCTACCTCATCTGACTGTAAGCAACTGCGGGCAGTGCTGTGACAACTCACAAAGTCCAGATTACTACATGTAAAAGACTGGGGCAGCTAGAGGAGAGGGGTTTCGACTCTAGGTGTGTCTCTTAGGGAGAATGACGGGGAGCTGGGGAACGAAGGTATGTGGACCCAAGAAGACCAAGTACCCACATGAACAGATGCAAGGCACGCCCCAGTAACAAATACGAACATTTATTTGGCACCTGATAGCTATACAAAAAAATCTTGGCAGTGGAAAGTGGGCGAGTTGTATCACTAAAATATATCCATCCCATCCCGACCCCAAGGCAGGACTCGACGGCAAGTCTTCCAACCCTCTGGCTCATAGAACAAACATTTATTTATCAAGCACCTTGACAGCTACAGGCCGACTTCTCTGCCGGGCACGACAGATGGGAAGGAAGATGCCTCACATGTGACAGTTCTTCAAGGAGCTAAAAATGCCCGTGGATAGAAACAAAACACTTGGAAAACATAACAGTACAAGTACTAAACTATAAGGTCAAAAAGAAAATTTTATCCAAAAGGATTCTAGCTACAGTTTGGTGCTTCTCTTTTCCTCTTATAAACATTTATGAGGAGCAGTGTCAGGGACTGGATACACACTGCGAAGGGAGCTGGGTTCCTGCCCTCTTGAAGCCTGCAGCTTAGTAGGGAGAAAAAAAATGAACCAGCAAAATAAACATATGGAATTACAGATCCTGTAAGTGCAACAAAAGAATTAACCAGGATGCAGTAACAGGAGACTGTCCGCGGACAAAGTGGCCCGGAATTCTCCACAAGATGAAGGAAGAGACGCTACCCCAGCCAACAGTAGTGGACACGCAGTGTCCAGGGTCACAGAACCAGAGTCCAGGCCACCAGGGCTGGAGCATAATGAGGTTCAAGGGCAGGCAAAGCCAGGTCTCAAACCTTGATCCAGACAAGGTGCAGAAGGGAAGCCCAGAGGTCCAAGAAGGAGAGAGGCATTGTATTTGTACTTAAAAGCCAAAGACTGTTACACAAAATACAGATTGGAGGCAAAGAACAGGAATGGGAAAGAGGGCCTTTAGGGGTCAGCAAGGTGTTGCTGAAGCAGGGAGAGGAGCTGCAACCACACAAAACCAAGGGGCCCGATTCTGAGGCTGACGGCTGGACAGGGTGGCACATGGTACCCAGAGCGGTAACGAGTGGGGAGCTTTTCTAGAAATCTAAGTATGAAGTAAAAGGTAACAAGGGGATGCCTTGCAGGGAGAAGGTCCCAGGGTGTGCAGGCGTGCCCTTCTTCCCTGCCCTCTGACAACATTCCCCATGAGGTTCCTTTCAGGGACAGCTCAGGGAGTGGTTACGGAAGCCTCTAAGACTTCTGGGCCGAGCACGCAGACCCTAGCTCTGCGGAGAGGCTGGGCACCGGGAACCCTAAGGAGCAGGGGGTGGAGGTGCGACACGTCCTTCACTGGGGCTGGCAGTCCTGCAGGATCACAGGCACTTCTGCTCAGGGCAGCAGAGTGTATCCTAGTCATGCTTGCTTCTTCAAAGCCAAGCGGAAATGTCCACCTGGAACTGGGATACCTTCTGACCCTCTAGCTGTCACTCTGGGGAGAAGTGCAGTGTGGAAATGAAGGAGAACAGATAGGAGGCGATCTCTTCAACCAGCATAATACAAGTGCTCCTTACAAAAGCCGTGGGGGCAGAAACAACGCAGACATCGAGCAAGCCCCATGCTCGCTCCCAATATACTGCATTCAAAACAACCACTTGACAGGCGCTTGGACTGCAGCCGAAACATTCCTGGCTGACAGTCCAGCCAGCGTCGGCCCTGAGGGAGAGTGCTCCACACAGGTCTACAGTCCCGAAAGGTGAGATGACGGGCACAGGAAACAGGCCTGAGAGTCCCATATCCCTGAGGGGCAGAACAGGAGCCACGCATCCTGAAATGGCTCTGCCATCCTCTGTGGTCCAGGCGCCTCTGACAGACGCAGGGGGCGGCATCACGTGGGAGGGTACCCTGGGAACAGGTAGAGCGGACGGCACAGGGTGCTGCAGTATTCAGACATCTCCTTACATCGGTGGAACTCTGTGCCAGGGGCATAGCCCTCACGCTCCTTGATGAGGGCATTGACCTGTGAGGCAGAAGCAAGGGTTCACAGTCAGGTGCATTTCCAGGACAGCAGACCAGCAGGAAGGGCAGGGATTATGGAAAGGGGGAAGGAAGAACAGTGTAGAGATGGAAAGGTTTACTGGGCCAGCCCCAGCAGACCTACCTTAACCAGCATGTCGGCCACATGCATGTCACAAGCCCTCTCGCAGAACACCTGAGCCAGCGCCTCGATGTACCAGGAACCCCGCTTGGTGTTGCGCATGGCAGCAGTTCCTGCAACCAGAGGTGTGAAGGTCACAGAGAATCCTCACATAGCTGGACTCATACAGTGCCGGGAACCCCCAGTCAGATCTAGGAAGGTACAGTCTTCTAATTACTTTTGGAACTCAAAATACCTTTCAGGCAGGCATAGCCGCAGATCATGTCGGACTGGGTGGGCAGTCTCATCTTCAGCAGCTCCTCTTTACCCGCGTCACTCTCCTCGCACCCAGCAGGCCTCGCATGGTCTTTTCCATCTAGCTGGTCAACCCCACGGTCAGTCTCATCTGCAGAAGGTAGACAGGATGGACACATGTATTAGTTTCCTCCATTTCTCACGGGCCTGTCATAAACATGGCCAAGTTTGCCATAATGACTGCAGAGAGCCATTTGCAGCTGTGGCCTCCAACCTATAGCTGAGGAATAAAAGAAAGAAAGATTATTACTTTCCCAGCACGCACCATGACTCAGGGGCGCCTACTGGGCCAGGCACCACACTCAAGCACATGCGCATACACAGGGCTGGAACATTTCCCATTCTGCTTAAAAAGCAGCCAAGGCAAACACTCTTTGTAAACAGAACTAAAAATCATGTAGGTCTGATTCACTTGTTCAGTTAGTAAAATATCTGAAACACCTGAGTGGTTTTTTTTATTGGTTTTATTTCAGTACATATTCAGTTTTATTATGTAAGCAAAAAAGTAATAAGCCAAACCGTGGTTGCTACATGGTTGTCACAACATGTATGCCATACAAAACTCTGAGCTGCACGCTAAACTATCGGCTAAAAAAATTGAACCATAAAACTAATAAGCACTATCAGTTTCTAAGGTGGTTTTGGTCTTTTCATTTGTTTCCAGGCAGGGTCCTGTGTGTAGTTGAAGCTGGCCTTGAGCTCATGGCAGTCCTCCAGCCTCAGCCTCCCCAGTGCTGGGATTACAGGCATGTGCCACCTCACCCAGCTGGCTTTGTTATTTTGGGCGCATTTACTTCTTACTTATTCAGAAGACAAGTTACAGCAGGCAGCCAAGATCTGAGAGAAGTTTATTTTGTTTTGCTTTGCGAACTGGGAACTGAACTCAGATCCTTGAGCTTGCCAGGGAAGCACTTATTCCACTGAGCCATCTCCCCGGCCCCTTGAGAGAAGTTTAGAAGAGGAAGAACTCAGCATGGCGCCATTCCACTTCAGCACAGTGTCCGAGTGAGCTGTGCAGACTCCCAGGCGGGCCCTCCTTTCTCAGGACACATGCTGACTGTGCTGCTGCTCTTACAGAGGAGCTAGGCAGCGATGCGGCTGCTAGGGAAGGGAGACCGGAGCATGCGCACACCAGCACAGCAAAGGCAGGGTATTCTCCACCCAGCGCTCAAGGGGGCCCAGCAAGGAAGGGAATATGGGAAGAATTGGCAGGGTGGGTGGGGGGGTAAGCATCACGAGTCACTGACTTAGTCAGAATCTACTGAGCAACTTCCAGGTAGCACGGCACTGTCTCTAAGCACGAGGGACACAGGGAAGAAAGTCACTGTCCTCATCAAGCTTGGTCTCCACTTTAGAAGTCAGTTGGCTGGGCCAACAGTGGCACTCTGTTCAATGTTGAGTAAGACAAATACAACAGGAAGATTGGTGAGCTCAAACCCTTACAGGAATAATGGGCCACCGGTCATCTCATAAAGTTGGAAAGACGGAACCAAAGATTCTGGTTACTCCAGAAAAGGGCAACTACTCCTTATTTAGATGCAGTATCGTATGTATATCTGAATTCAGAAGAAAATGACCACTCATGTCTTTATTTTGCTGGTAACGACTGTTAAAAGGAAATAGGCCAAGCTAGGTAAGTAATTCAGGAGATGAGAGGACTATTCTCCTACTGTTCAATATAGTTCTTTCTCCACAATACCCTCATCCGTTTTCTGTATCATTAGGACTTTTAGAGTAGATAATTTCCACCTGTTCCCTCAACATGCACTGGTGCCACCACGCACTGGGAAGACAGCAGGACAAAAACCCCCGCTCCTGCTCCTTGTACGTGCTGTCCTTCATCATCTCCCAGCTAACGCTGTCCCGGTCACCTTGCCAGGGGAAGCACCACAGACCGTTTCTTCCTTAAGTTCTCCACATCTCTGTACTCATCTTTTGAAGGCCAACATCCCAGCTGTGACTAAGGGTTTGTAATCAGCTGGATCGCCTTCTATGCCCAGCAACATTAACCGCACACACAGGTGCTCAGCTTTTTAGTTCGATCTAAGCCCAGGGGTGGAAAGGGGTGAGGGGCACAACACACACTCTGTAGCCCAGTGTGTCTGCAGGCCACGCACTGCTTCCTGGGAAAAGATTGTCTCCCTGCACCTCTGTAAATCAGATGTCCTGGGTCCAAGTTAAGCCCTACCTTTTCCAGTCTCTTTGAACTAATCCCACTGAAAACTATCTACTTTAACTGCATACTCTGGCATAAGTGCAGTTTCCATCTCACTAATTTTACCCTTGTTTGGGAACCAGTCTCAAGCTCCTTCATGTATATTTCTTTGGTTTCCTGAGGAATCCCACAAGTTTCTTAGAAAAGCTCCTGTTTTCCTTTGCTTCTGTGGTATCACCTACCAGTCTTGGTCATGTCGTATCACATCCCTTACTTATTAAACAACAGCTTAAAAAAGTCATTTGAATATTTGGATAAAGTGAATTTGTACCAAAACGAAAAGCCCTTTGTGGACACTAATCATGTTGTAACAGCCCCAGCCGGCTTTCTCTGCCTCTGCCTGAGACGCTGTGCTACGCAAGCTCCTATATGTGCAACTCCCTTTAATCACCACAACCTTATTGAGCCAGTACAGTGACAATCTACACTTTACATGAAGGAAACCGGGGTGGAGGGACGTCAAGTAACGCTTCTAACTTCACATAATTACTAAGTAGTGGAGTCAGCATCTGACTCCAAATTTAGAACTCCTAATTACTACTGTTTTCCTCCAAGATGATAAGCAGCCATTGTATCTTCGGAGCCTTGTTTCACAGGCCTGGCTCTTACAGGGGCAGAACAACTGCATGCAAGAAAGAAGAGGGACAGAAGCAGCTTAGGGGAGAGGCCAGGGCTGATGCGGTTCTGGACTGCTTCCCTGCGAGGTCCATGAATGAGAAAGAGAAGGCGGCAAGAGTGGAAGCTAGATGAATGGGGACGCCTAAGGAGAAAGTGAAAAGGGGGAAGGAAGAGAAAGAAAAGAAGCAAACAGAGGGAGACCAACAGGAAGCTGAGACAAACAGAAAAATCCTAAACCAGAACAAATAACAACAAAGTGCATCTGCGTTGATAAGCACAGCAGGGTCCAAGTGCTCAGAAAAAAAGGCTAGGACACTGACGAGAATCCTGGGAGCAGGACATGGTGGTGCATGGAGAGCTGACCAGCCTGAGCGCCGCGGCTGCCCAAGTCCCAGCACACCCCATGCATCGGAGACACTTACAGAGCAAGAGAGGCGGTGGCAGCAGGGAACAGAAGGAGGTGCCCAGGGGGTCCGCTAGCACCTGAGAGGAGCAAACAGGAAAGTGAGAGCTGGAGGGGGCTGTCCTGGAGCCATCACCCAGCTGCTGGCTGCCGTGGCAGCACTCACCTCCACGGCAGGCCTGGATGAAGAACATCTTTGGCTTGTTCTGCAGGCTGGGGCAGTTGGCATTGTCAAAAAGCCGAAAAATCTCTTGCAGCTGCCAGAAAGAAAGAAGGGAGGCTGAAGTCAGCGAGGCCTCATCCATGGGAAGATGGGCGAGGGAGGGGAGCAGCTGCGTGGGCTTCCGCAGCAGGACACGCACCTGCAGCAGTTTGCCGTCCACGCCATAGACGCTGCCCTCTACCCCATGTGAGAGGAGCACCACGACGCAGGAGTCTGTGGCCCGGTGCGCGGGCAACTGTGCGAAGCTGTGGAGCTTCTCCTGCATTTCCTAGGAGGAAAACACCTTTCAGGCTTGAGCGCCGTACTCCACACCCGTGGAAGCACTGGGCTCTTGTTTCTGTTTGAAAACCTACATGATCAGAAGAGGGGCCGGGGAGATGGCTCAGTGGAATAAGCGCTTCCCTGGCAAGCCCAAGGGTCTGAGTTCAATCCCAGGTTCCGCAAAAAAAAAAAAAAAAAAAAGAAAAAGGAGAAAAGCCAACAGTTCACAAACTTAATTTCCATAATTCTGGTTGCACACTGCATCAAATTTCCTGACAAGGTCAATATTGACCCTAACCACCAGATTTGATCCGGTTCAGGATGAGAACAGTGGAAAGAATTAAGCTCATGCAATGAGGCTCCACTATACTCGTGTAGTCACAAAGAGTATCAGAAAGCCTTCCACAAGTCTGCACTCCCAAGAAAAAAAAGCCTGACTTCACATAGAATTCTGAGTACAGATTCACAGCCTCAAAGTAACTTAAGAATGAGATTAACCAAAGTTATTAATGGAACTACTCATAAGCTAGTCAACTCTGACTCCCCTGATCAGCAACCAGAGCCTTTATTGGAGAGGAGGGCAAGAGCCGCAATGGTAGGGAACAACAGTACTGGGTAGACTTCCCATGTAGGCTGGGGAGGATCCAGGAGGTGATGCTTTGTGCAGAGAGTGCAGGGTGGACTGAGCTGTCACAGCAGCTTACACACTCGGGTTACGGGTTGGACCCATCTAGCTTTGAGTGCCAGGCCTGGAAACCAGAACAAGGAGTTTTACCCTTGAAGGTTCTGATTTTCATTTAGTAAGAAAGGGCCAGGGAGATGGCTCAGTGGAATAAGCACTTCCCTGGCAAGCACAACGGCCTGAGTTCAATTCCCGGTTCCGCAAAAAAAAAAAAAGAGAGAGCTCCCCCATTCAGTAAGAAAATAATTACATCTAAATTTTCTCTTTTAAGTTTTGAGGATTGAGATTTTGCACAGACATTACTTAACTGCTGCATCTCAGACATACTATAAAGACCTGGCATTAAAAGGTGCAGGCCTAATACAGCAATAATCACATCACCATCTTTTTGAAAGAAACCTATTAAAGACCAACCTTGCAGTCCAACTGAATTCTACACCTTACAAATTCAGTTCAACCAACATAGCATGATGAGGATGGGTATGGTACCTGGGCAGAACAGCACACATATGCTTAACATTATGCTCGTGCACAGAAAAGCACACTTGTTCTCCAAGAGTTGTCCCAGGCCAGGGAGACAGCTCAGCGGCACAAGCACCTGCCTGGCAAGTGCAAGGTCCTCTGAGTTCCATCCCTGGTACAAAAGACAACACAGAAGAAATCAAAGGGTGGTCCCTAAAGCAACCACAGCAACATCGCCTAGGAATTTGCGAGGATTATGAAATCTTGGGCTACAAAACCCTTTTTAACAAACTTTCCAGCTGATTTGGATATATCAAAATTTGAGATTTCCTAATTCTCTTATTTGGAATACTTCGCAGATAACTGAAATGTAAGTACACGAAAGATGCGACAGACAATTTAACTGGAAATAGAGAAATGGATTATTTTGAAAAAGTACGTGTAGTTCCTGGGCAAACCACAGCCAACCGTAATAGAAATCTTAAAGAATAAAGCTTAGTTAAAATTCATTTGTTCGTAGAATATATAAATTGAAGCGAATCATAACTGTCAATGTTTCTCACAACTCAAAAACACTTTCAATGTAAATACTTTTATCAGTACACGACTGTACTTATCATGAGGCAAAGTTAAATTTTGCCCAAATATAGTAAGCATTACAGACATACTTAGGCATCTACTCAAATAATTCCCAAATTTGAGTATTCAAACTCAGTGGGATTAGTTCAGTCAATAGAGGGCAACAAAGTCAAAGCAGCATTCTTGTCAGTGTTTTCAACACAAGAGGATGCTGTAGGATTATACTTTTTTTTTTTAATGTATTTGGTATAGGGTCTCACTATGCAGCCTGGACTCGTAGTGGTCCTATTTTCAGCCTCCCCAGCGCTGGGATTACAGTTGTGAGAACCATGCCCGTCTACTTTTTTTTTTTTTTTTGGATAGGATCATGCTATGTGGTCTAGGCTGGCCTTGAACTTGTGCTGTGCTCCTGCCCCAGCCTCCTTAGTGGTGGGATTATAGGAATGCACCACCCCACCTGACCTACTATTTCTTACATATTTCTTATAGCCAAATGAAATTTATTTCTAAAGTCCAACATGCCTGTGAAGGCAAGAGGCACATCTTAAATCTTGGCTTTGAGTCTGGTCTGCCAGGAGGACAGCACTCTGCAGATAGTCAGTGCAGCGAGTTACGACTCACAGCAACCGCCCGCCCGCTTTATGGCAAGCACACACACAGCTCTTGGTTAGACAGCTCCCGTCTGGGAAGCCCTCGCCCCTCCACTCTACCTCAGCACCTCGGCAGCGTCCACAAGTCTCACTGCTCCGTTCACCCTGCTGCCCACACTGACTGGGGCAGTGCTTCCTACCTCACCTGGCCTTGGGAACACAAGGGGCCCTGTTTCCTTTCTGCTGACACTCAACACTCCCCCATCAATGTGTGAGTCCTAGAACCCAAGGCCCACTTTTCAAGTTTCTGATAGCTAACAGTTTCCCTACACGATGCTGAAAATTTAACTTCTCTGTAACTGTAGTTACAGTTAGGACAGTCAATCATAACTGTCAATGTTTCTCACAACTCAAAAACACTTTCAATTTAAATAATTTTATCAGTACACGACTGTACTTATCATGTAACTGTAGTTACATAAAAATTTAAGCAGAGAATGGGAATCAACATGACCTTGAATTGGGATTTGGTCTTCCATAATGGAAATAGCATTTGCGAACTGCACTCATGGTTTCATTAATCTACAGAACGGCTCAAAAATCAGGACTATATCTAGCTGACCTGGTGACTCAGTATGGTGCCTTTAACTACCAGGCATGCCCTTACCAAGTGCGCATACTTCTGAGTAGCATGCTACGACCCATCCCTCCTAAAAGCAACGGCCAGATCACAATGTCTAGAAGACACGCAGAGCACGCACTTTGTTGGGTGGCCTCCTAACAGATTCCTTTTTCTTAGTTGCTACGGCCTGTGTCTCCCCAGTCCCATGCGCTCACAGGTGGGGCTTTCTCACAGGTGGCTGGATCTAGAACATGAAGGCAGATTAGGGGTGCACGATTACTGAATCAGCCCACTGACTGACTGGTCTGCACGGCTCTGGGCGTGAATGCTCCCTGCCCTAAGCTGAGTAGCTGAGATGGAACAGAAAAAGCATAGACAGAAGCTACAGTGGCTCGCTGCTTGCTTGCTTCTGCGGTCTTCCTGCCATGGAGTATTTCTCCTCTGCAATCGCGCTCGCCATGTCACCCTGCTTGGAGCCAGGCAACTCTTGAATAAAACTTCTGCAAACTGTGAGTTGAAACATCGGAAAGCTTTCTTCCTTGAACTTTGGGGGGTTTTACTGCAGCAACATGAAAAGACATTATATAGCAATGGCAGGGGTAAGCTGCTTTTGTTCCAGTCGTACCTAGCAGATGCCTCGGGACAGCTCATAATCTACTTCATTACTTCATGACCAGAGATATTGTTCTGGTCACAGCTTTAAAGCAAGGGTGTTTTTATTACGTTGCTATGAGAAGCCAGGAAAGACGGCATGGAAAAGACAACACCCAGGCACCTTATCACGAGCCTGGCTGTCCCCAAAGCACAGCAAACATGCAGCTCTCATAAAGTGGCAGAGCTGAGGCCACAACGAAAACCATACAGCCCACGCTGAACACAGCACCAAGACCCTATATCCCAACAAGTCCATGTGGGTCTTCTAGAAATTTTATTTTCACCACCGATAACTCCAAAGGCAAGAAATGGCTACAAGAGTTAACAAATTTACGAACAGGTCAAGAACGTTAGGCATAGCACAGTTCAGTAGTTGAGGTTAACAAGGACTAAATAACCCATAATGAAAATGTTTAAGACTTGTAAGAAGCTAATCCAGAGTCAATCTAGCCTAAGATTAAGATTTTCAGGCCACACTAAGAAGGGATTTCCCCACACGACTCACTAGACAGCCCCTAAGCAATATTTACAGATTCCCATTTGAAGGAATCTTGTCTGCCAAGTCAATCGCCAAAATAATAATTGGGCTCTAAGTAGCGGCAGCAACCAGGAAATAAAATACCCTGTGCGGTCCTGGTTTATAAATATCTCCTGTGAGTTGGTTAGCACGAATCTTACTGTTTCATCACTTCCTGAGGGCCTGGGAGTCAAGTTTCTGAACACGTAAAAGGCAGAACTTAACCCTAGACTAACAATTCTTACTCCCTGAAAGCACAGCTACCCTAGATGTCAAACATTTAAACAGCTAGCTGGCCCGAATTCCTTCTTTCTAGTGAGACCATAAGACCAGCACTTAAAAGACCCAAGTGGAAAACCAAAGGGCAGCAGATGCATCCAGCCTCAACGCGGGGCGCCACCCTGATTCACAGGCCGCTTCTCCAGCCCGAGGTACCTGTGCAGTCTGGTCATGCAGGACGTGGACACTATAGCCCAAAAGCTTGAAGAGGGCAACAAGGGTGCTATAGTCCACCTCTCCTCCAGAGCGCAATTCCAGGTCTTTCTCTCCCGTGAAGTGCACGTTGCTCAGTACCAGTGCCAAGCCTCGAGGCTGGGACTGCAACCTGTAGGCCTGACAAGGGAGGTCAGTTAGAGCTTGTTAACCACCACATAAGCCATGATGACCCCACTAGACGAGCCACTTCCAAAATAATAATAATAATGATACTATAATCTCAACATTACCAGGTAAAAACAGAAACGCCTCCACACGTAACAATCAGCAAGGACTTTCTGACAGAGAAAATAGTAAGTGGATACCATGTAGGCTGAGATGTCCCACACAGATATCTCCTTGCCCAATTCGTGCTGTTATGCAACACTCACCTGCTGGTGATGTGTCTGATAAAACTCGGGGGTACAAGGCTTCACCTGGAGGCAGGGAGGGCCGTCGCCGTTATCGAGGGAGCACTCCACCACATCTGCAGTAAGGCAAAGCCAGAATACTGGGAGACAGTTTAAACCGCCACTCCCGCACACCACAGTCACCTTAGGGCTCCCCTCTGAATTGGTCTTAAAAAATACAGTGCCCCGACCCACATTTTGATCTGTAAGCTTCACCCAGGCACAGACCCTGCTGGCTTCAGACCAAGCTACCACACGGCTTCCATACTTGGCTTGCATGCAGTAGGTGCTGAACGACTGAAAAAGGGCTATCAGATCAAATCCTGATTCTTATCACTAGGCTGCCCTTCAGCAGGCTCATGGCCCTAATGGTAGCCTTCTCTCCAGCTTTCATGGCAGGACGAGCTAATCATGTGCAGGATTTCTAACCACTATAAACAGTTCAAAGGGCCAATTAACTTGAAGAATGTTACCTGTAAGGCAAAAGGACCCAACTAGTGGCTTATATAAATTCCTTATCTAAACTGTCCTCCTAGGTCCTAATGAATACAGTGAGGAGCCATGCCCAATAGGAAATATGTCTCCTATACGGGAGAAACTAGACATTGGTCACATTTGAGAAATCAATGGGTGAGGTCGCCGTTCCCCATCAATTCTCACCTGATGACAGGCGGAGCTGCTTGGGAGGAGAACAGGACTCACACACGGGCAAAGGGAGGCTCATGTCATAGTCACAGCTCAACTGCAAGAAATCAGGACATATTGTGACCAACCTGAAGGAGACGGTCCTGGCCAAATAAAGATCTCTTCCTTACCCTGCCCCACAGAGGTTCTTTCCAGCCAAGTGAACCCTCCCCAGAACTCCACATTTCTAGAGTCTCATACCTGTGGGAGTACATGCTGAAGATCAGAGAGGGTTGTGAGCAAAAGGTCCTCTAGGTGACCCTGCTTGGTCTCCCGCAGCGCCACACAGAAAGCATCGAAGGCCTCAGGGCCCCTCTTGGGTAACAAATTGAGGAGCTCCACATTCTGGCTGAAACTGCCCACTTTGGCCTAAGACACAGAAAGAAAACATGACATCAGATTTACTTAATCTAGTTTTAATCCTGCTTTTTCCATATACATGTTCTTTCTCATAATGTCCTCACTCATTTTAAAGTAATTCCTTTGGTGGTTTTTTTTTTGGCAGAACCGGGGATTGAACTCAGGTCCTTGCACTTGCCAGGCAAGCACTTATTCTACTGAGTCATCTCCCAGGCCCAATTAATTCCTAAAAAAAAAAAAAAAAAAATCTATCTATCTATCTATCTATCTATCTATATATATATCTATATATATATATATCTATATATATATCTGAAGTCCCTCTCATTCACCTTGATTTTTTTTTTTTTTTATCTTTTACTTATTTATTTGGTGCAGGGTCTCACTACATAGCTCAGACTCAGTGATCCTCCTGTCTCAGCCTCCCCAGCATTGAGATTACAGGCATGTGCCACCACACACAGTTTCAGGGGTCAGCAGTGCATGCAGTGCCGGGGATTGAACCTAGGTCCTTGCACTTGCCAGGCAGGTGCTTAGACTGCTGAGCTATCTCCCCAGCCACCTCATCTTGAAATATATAACTTTCCTGTCAAATTCTTAAGGCATTTCCTCAGACATAACATCCTCCCACGCTCTACCTTCTGCCATTCCAATTTATCTCCTTGGCCTCGCCCTCTCTTTCGCCTCCACATACCTGGATGAGTTCTCTCATCTCTAAAGTAATGATGTCTTTCTCCAGGAGATGTTCTAAAAGCTCGCTCAGCAATAGCTGCTTGGCCAGCACCACTCGGTTCCTTTTTAGAGTTTCCTGATGGTCAGGACGCATGCCACATGCTCCTATTACCCTATAGCAAGGTGGAGATGAAGAAGGTGTCAAGTGTCAGCGGAAGAGGTGTGCGTGGATAAGATCCAAGTAATCAGGGCTTAGAACAACCAAGATCAAGCCTGTTTCGTTGAGTCTGGTTAAATTCAAAGATGTACTAAGCAGCCACATGGTCTTAAGGGAATAATGTACAATTGTTTGTGGAGTATAACTGGGACCACCTGAGGTGAATGGTAAGCCCAAATGAGGGAAATATCCATCGTATTGAAAATAACACATACACACCCTTCAAGGAGCCGTCCTCTGGCAAAACAACTTTAAGAGAGTAATTTCAGAATGTGTTGTATATTAGTAATCTAAAGCTGATTTAAGTTTAAAATGTTCTCCAACAGAACGAGCAACAGCCAGGTTAAACGGGGATACACTCTTCTCTAGATTACTTCTGCAAATGTTTCTCTCCAACTTTTATATTTCTGTGACAAAACGACACTGGAAACCGGAATCCTCTACGATGTGGGGAAATAGCAAACATAACAGGAAAGTCATAAAAATATCAAGGAGGGACACAACATGACTCCCAACAGACAGACAAGAAATCACAATCTGGAATCCGAATGCAAGGGACACTAAATCATTTCGTTTGCTAGGAATACTGTCAATTCAAAGATTTCTTTACACTATTGGCTTGGAAACAAATTAGCTTCTACTTTTAAATTAGAAGAGTCTCATTTTCACTATATATGTCTAGGTGCCTAATTTATATAAATCAAGAGGTCTCTAGCCTTAGCCTTACCTTTCAAACATATAACATCAAGGTCCTGATGGCAGTGAAAAAGCAAAGTGACACTATTTTAATCTTGTTTTTCCCTATGAGCTTCCTTCCTAGTAGGATCCTCACTCATTTCAAATTAAGAATTCCTTTAAAAAGAAAAGCGTGAAATATGTATCTTTCCTGTCAAATTCTCCAGGCATTTCCTTAGTCAGGCACAGCATCCTTTCCACACTTGATCCTCTACTGTTTCACTTTCTAGCTGAAGATGTTTTTTAAAATGCGGACAAGAGAGCTCAGCAGACTAAGCAAGTGCATGGACCAGGGTTCGATCCCTAGGACCACATATCATGCTGACCAGGTGCTGTGGCGTATGCTTTTAATTCTAGCCCTGGGGAGACCGAAAACAGCAGAGTATCACTGCTCCAAGCTGTGCAGTGAGACCCTGTACCAAACACATTTAAAAAAAAAAAAAAAAAAAAAATTGCAGGTTGATTTTAAAGATGATATGCACTGCAACAAATGCTACGAAATTCATATTACTTTGTTAATGAAACTCTGTATCACTTGTAATTTTTATTTCAATTCTAATTTGTACCCTCTTGAGAAAGAAGCATATCCAAGCTTTAAAAAAAAAAAAAAAAAAAAAAGGTAAAAGGTGAGAGGAAACAGAACCTTCAAATCATTGAAATATCAGGTATCCAGGATGGGTGTATGTAGCATGAAAATGTTCTTGGCCTAGAGGTTCATAAAGTTAGATAAAAAGGGAGGAACTCGGGAGACCCAGGAGAGGAAGTGGGGTCCTGAGGCAGAAGAGGTGCTGAGAATACTACACCTGCTGCTCCAAACTCGTCACTGAAACCTCCTCTATAACAGCATCTATACAAATCACTCACTTAAGAATTAAAGCACACCAGCACAGCAACAATGTCGATATATGCAAAATTTTGTAAAAACAAAGGTGGGGATGTCCTCAGTTGCTGGCTGCTTCCTCAGGAGATACTACCAATGATGGAGCAGATGTCTTTCTTGACTAAATAGGTACGTACTCCTTAAAGCTTTCTCTTCCACTAGCCTTCACAACACCAACCTTCATCCTCTCTGTCCTCTCCTACTATACCGTTTCCTTTACGGGACTTTGGACCCTCCCTTAATTGCTGACTGGGCATTCAAACCCTCTCACAAAATACCTTTCTCCACGCAACCTCATCCATACCCACACCTCACCAGTTCTAAACTCTAGCGAAAGTTCCAGACAGGGATTTTCATCCAACAGCTCACTGCTTTCCATCGAAAGTATCAAGCACTCTCTGCGCACCTGCCTCTTCTTCCCATCACACCACGGGGTAAGTCCTAACTGTGAGCATCCCAAAGATCGGTGTCCTCCTGAAGGACCCTTCTTCAAAGTCCTAAATTAATCTCCTGGTTTGGAACAGCGCTAATTAAAAATAAGTCACCTGGGTGACTGTCTGCCTCGAACGGGGACCAAGAGGGGCAGAGACACTCACGGACCTACAGGAACCCACTAGCTCTTTCCAAGCGCTCAACTCCCAAAGCCTGTGCTGAATTCTTTGAAAAAAATACTGTCACTGTACACAGAAAATGCAGGTCATGATGCAGGCAACCCAGGGCAAACGCACACAACACTCAAGTCTGCAGGTCTCATCGGTTCTTAAAGGATCAGACTATATACAGTTTGTACGGTGAGTAGAGGAGAGGTTGGCGCATCTTGAGGAGAAGCTGCAATCTAGCAGGACAGGGCAGGGCTACTCTTAGGCTGGGAGAGACAAAGGGAACTGGCGCCTCCGTGCACAGGGCACCAGGCCGAGGGACCAGCCCGCACACCCCCGCGCGAGGGGAGGCTCGGAGCGCCCCGACTCGGCAGCACGCACGCCCTTGGCAGGGAGCGCGGCCGCGGCCGCTTCCCAGGGCTCCGCCGAGGGGCTGCAGGGCCACACGCCCCGGCCCAGGCCCTTTTTCCCGGGCCTCCCCGAACCCCCCGGGGCGTCCCTCACTCACCTGCGCCTGCGGTCGGCAGCCATGAGCCCCTTTTGTTGCACAGCGGGTCGGGCCGCCGCGCTAGGGGCCGCCATTACCCGCTTTTCCCGGGCTGTGCACGGACTGCCCACAACCCAAGCGGACCCTCCGCCCCTCCGCCCCTCCGCCCCCTTCCTCCGCATCCCACCCCCCCCCCCCCGCCACCGTCGCACCCGCGCCTGCGCACTACCGCTCCTAGCGCCCGCCGGGCGCCAGGCAGGTGTCGCCCCCGTCGCGGTAGGTGTGTGCGCAGGCGCAGAGACGCCGCCGGGGCAGCCCCGTCCAATGGGGCGAGAGCAGGAGCCGGGGAAACGGAAGTGGAAGAGGCGGGCAAAGCCAGTGCCCCGCCCACCTAAGAATCCCATTGGTTAAGCTTTCCCGCGGAAACCGCAGTCCCTCCCCGGACGCCCCCGACCCCGCCGCCCCGCCTCTCGCAATTTCTTCTCAGAGACCTTTGTGGCCCGCCGGCTCGCGGCTTTAGAGTAGGTCGGCTGGGGCCAGAAGGCGCTTCATGAACTAGAGGGCGCTCTTGGGGGAGGCCGGACGTGTTCGCGGTCCTGCTCAGCCCACCCCGCTGACAGACACGACTGTCCCCCATTCTGTCTGCGTGGAGTCTTCCGTCCATCCCCAGCAGCGGTCTCAAGACGAGCTTGTGGCGGATGGCCTGGCTTCCTGTCGTTACATGGTACTGATAACACAGTGGGCTTGGGAACATAAGTCTGTTAATGCTTTTTTTAAAATGTTAGTAGGAGTGTATTGTGCAAATTATCCAAATCCTCTAATCCTTGGGTCCTCGTTTTATAAAGAGGGTAAGAATACCTCACATGACTGAGGCATCTGATAGAGGCAGAGCATCCATGGCGGATATAACACAGCTTCGCCTCATTTCTTTTCTTCCTTTTCCAGGTTCCTGCTCTTCACCTTCGCTCTACCTGGAAATACAGGACATGGGCAGGTCAGTCAGCGTTGCAGGAAGACTCAGGTCGTGTCGCCCACATGGCCTTCTTCTCTGGTTCCAAGTCTCTATTTATGATGTTTAGATGGAAATGCAGTTCCTGACAGGTACAAATTGTGGCACTCCGCGACACAATAGACACCAAAACCAAAGGAAGAATTTGGAGTGCTTTATTAGTCAAGCTTAGTGGCAACACTCCCTCAGAGAAACTAAGGAGAATGCGCGCTGAGTTGAAACAAAGCACACCCTTTAAGGTGAAAAATTTCAGGGTTGGGGAAGGAAAAGGGATTCTTTCAAGGTATTGTCATTACTCCTGTACTCAGGAAGGGCATCTGGTTACAGTTTTACCCATTCTTTGGGATGCTGAGTAATATTTTTTAATTAGGGCAGTTACAATTTATAGTCTGACATGTGTAGGGGTTTACAGAAAAGATCAAGGCTTTACAGAACAAGATTAAAATCTTGTTACAAAAATGAAGTAGGTGTGCTGTGCAGATGGTTCAGTGGAATAAGAGCTTCCCTGACAAGCACAAGGGCCTGAGTTCAATCCCTGGTACCGAAACAAACAAACAAACAAAACTAGGTTAAGCCAGTTTAAGGTTTTTGTAACCGAGTCAAATCCTTGGCTCGTTGGGGTCATATTCATGTAACTGCAGTTGTTTATATCTTTTTGCTTTTAAAATTAACATTTTTGCAACCTGGAACTTTGTCTGAATATGGTTTAACAGACATTTAATAATGCAGGGCCCGACTGTGAGGGCCAGGAACAGGAGCATGAGGGGGCCAGCTAGAACTGAGAGCAAAGTGGTTAACCATGGGGACAGTGAAAATAAACTTTGAAACAAGTTTTGTTCTGCATGTCGTTGTTGTTTTCTTTTCTGTAGTAGTTTTTTAAGTTATTTATGGTACCTTGGATTACTCCTGAGTGATTGGTGTAGAAACAACATGCTTCACCCAGGGCCACACAAAGTCTTCCTTCCTTTATGAATATTAAGTCTAGTCCTTGCCTGTTTTGGAGGACCATTTCAGCTAATGACCTTAGGGATTCTTCTAGTTTAGAGACTGAACTGTCAAGAGCTATCAGATCTTTGTCAATGAGGGTGCTTAATTTATGATAATTTTTATCTCCTATGATTAAGCTAGCTGCCCCAAGGGTTGTAGCCCCAATGAGGCCCAGTCCTAGTAGAATGGGTACCAAAACAGGATCAGCTCTTTTAATTCTGGTTAGGTCTGACTCTTAAGTAGAGATGTTCGAAACCCCCATCACCTGAATACCAATACACCTGAGGGAAAATGTGGACCAGAATGCACAACTCAGGCTGTTGGGAAAATGCACCAAGCATTATACAAGGAGTGATTCCATTAGTGCAAGCAAACCATGACCCAGAGGGAGTCCTTAAATGTTGATTAGCAGGATAGGCGTGATTATAAATGATGAAGGCATTTGAGCAAAAATCTAGATGTGGGCTTTTTGCTAGATTATAATTAGGAGAGTGAAAGCAAGTTCCATTTGTTCTTTGGATGTTTCCTAGTGTGAGGATTGGTCGTTGGCCCCACCAACAGGGTGAGCTGTCTTCAGCTCCAGTAGAATTGACTATGTTGATGGTTCGATTGGTGCCTAGAAAGGCATGTGTAGCGAGTCCCGTATAAAAGGGAGGGGCTGGGTCTAAACATAGCCAACAGTCATTGGTGATGTTAGGGTTGGTGTTATTCTGCTATTTTGCTGAAGAAGAGGTTTTTAACAAAACTAAGTATCATATTATATGCTTAAATCTCTTAAGTCTCATGCACTCGTGGCCCTTTGTGGTGAAGTTATATCAAATTATTTTAACATGGGGTCACCATTGTTAATCTACTCAAATAGCAAGGAGCATTAGTTAACAACAAAGTCCAACTAGGTGGGTTTTTTTAGAACTCTAGAACAGGCAATATCTCCCATGTCCCCACTGGTTTTTGTGCTACCTCTTAAGCTGTAACATCAGCCAAGTAGTTTTTTTTTTTTTTTTTCTCTTTTGAGGTCTGGCCCACAGTGGGGAACATCTCTCTCAAGCTGTAGTCACCTTGTCTTTAATTTTGTCTCCTCGAGGGCCTAGTCCTGTCTGACTGCCTATTATATTTTTAATCTAACTCGGCTGACTGCAACATTTTTTTTCCTCTGAAGGAGTAACCTGAACTGCTGTGAGGGAAGTATGGGCGATGACCACTCTGGCTTCTTCAGGCTGAAGGGGTTGCAGTTGTTGACCAGCAGTCAGAGATACTCTCCAGAGCTTTTACCTAAAGGTCCTTAATAGACACCAAGCATTTTACGTTGGGTAGGTGGAATAGCTTTAAATCTGAAGGAGACAAAGCCAGAGAAACAATTAAACAAAAAATAACATCAGCAGGATACAGAAATCACTTACCAGATCTGTAATGTAATAACCTTTTAAAGTTTGTAATTATAAAAACAATTGTCAGAACATTTTGTAGGTCTATTTGCAGATATCTCTCAAATGTGGGGTTTAATCCCTTTTATGTTCTATGGCCATTGGGTATTGTCTCAAATAACTGGCCTACTCTTTTTTTTTTTTTTCTATAATTTTATTGAGAAAGAAATAACAATGAGACAGTTTCAAATCAAATTGGTAGGACAGTTTCAATAATTAACACATTGCATACATTCTTCCTAGTGGTTAATTGCTGTACAAGATGCAGACATAATATCCTATTTACAAACACCATTAGAACAAATCCCTCTATTCATTAAGAGAATGTAACTATATATCTATCCTAACCACTTTGAATACACAGATACAAAATGGACATTCATCTGTATCCCCTTTTTTTGTTTAGTTCCATTATTTGAATATTATAGGTGTGTTAACTCAGCTAAATATTCTAAAAGAGGCCAGTAGTCCATAATATTGTTGGGTCCTCTACTTCACTGGCAATTTCATTAATTGTTGACCTGAGTCCCCTACAGCTCAACATAACAGCATGGTTTTACTTCTCATATTTCATTTTTATACTTTTCTACTAGATGGTTAAGACCAAGGTAAAGCAGGACGTATGCAACAAGAGTTGTAGCTTTTGGGTCTGAGAAGGTCAGTGAAATCCCCTCAGGATTTATCCTGAGATCTTGTACCTCAGATTGTAGAACTTTTGTCAGTGTCAGCCATGTGGATGAGTCACGGCCATTGCTTGGCCAATGTGCTCTCTGTGAAAGCCTGAGAGAATATTTTCTCTCCATGTGACTCTCCTTAGGCACACTCTACATCATTGATCACTTTCCTCTTTGGTGGCCTACTCTTAGTCTCACCAATTTTATTAATACCATGGGCACATGAATTGCCAGAAATAGGGAAAACACCAAGTACTCTCCAGTTTGCAATTGGAGCCACTGGCTGGGTAACTACTGACAAATCTGCATAGCTTTTATCAAACGTTTAACAGGTGTTTCTCTTATATTGGCAGTTAACATGGGTTACCTCAGGCTGAGAAGGGAAGACCCATGATGACTTCAATCTGAAACTTTTTTAACTCCATCATAAACACTTTTTTTCCCTTCTCTAGAAGCTTTGGACATTTCTGCTTGAAATAATTCTTCTCTCTGTCTGGATCCAGGGAAGCATAACTTTTTCCCATTTTCTGACCCGCCTTCATTCCTGTAGGCTGCTAGTATTATTATTTTTATTTTCCATCTATAATTCCATTCTTTATCCTTTTTACTATATAACACCTTAACTCAGACAAATTTATTCCTGCACACTCTTTTAACTTCCACAGCTTGTGTCAGATACCTAGGACCCACTGAGCAAGGTATAACTTTTTGGTTTTAAGGCCTCCTGCATGACTACATAGGTTTTGGTATCTTCTAGGAAAGAACAAATTTTCTGAGAAATTAGAGCATATATAATCAAAGCATGAACATTTGAGCTAACAGGTACATTTATAAACTTTTTGAGGCTAGCAATCATAACCCACTAGCTTTTAGATCTGTTTATTTGTGGAGTCTGACAGTTTGCTATAAGTTCCTCTAGCTATACTTATAATCATCTCTAAAATTTGAGAACATATGAAAACCAGATTAATACCTTATTTTTACTGTCAATGCTTTTAAGTAATTTAAGTAAAGTTTGGCATATTTTCCTAGTTATACCTGCATTTACTATCAGCA